TGAAGGGCATGGACCAGGAAAAATCTACAATATGGTTTTATTGCTTGTGACTGGACTGGAATCCACATGAGGAGCTGTTTGAGGTTTGTTCTGCACAGTCCCTGTCTAGTGTTTTCAGGCAGGTGCAGAGAGAAACTCTCTGCCAGAAGCAATGACTAAAGGGGCTGTTTTTGCCATCTGCCATCTGTTCTGCGCACAATTAGGGCTGCAGTACGTGACGGTGTTGCTACACAGTCTCAGTTGCATAGGAAAAAGTGCGTTATGACACATATCCATTTCCATGGGACAAGCACAAGTTCTCTCACCCAGCAGCCCTTCTTGGTACTCGCAGTAAAAGTGTTTCTTTGAATGTCTTGTCTTCCTGCTCCCTTTTTCATGTATAGATATTTAGTGCTGGGCAGCTCAATATTAACATTCTATTTGAAAGTAAGACCCACAGACTTCCATTTGCTAGTAAGGGTGTATACAATGGCAGTCATGTAACCCAATCTTCTGTATGTCCACTTGGGAAGAAAGCTCTTTGGGTTCATTTGCAGGCTAAGCGGATGGAGGATTACACCTTGACAATGCAATACTCTGCATATCTACTCAGAGATTACTAACACCAAATTCAGTGTTTACTTGGGCATTCTTAGAGGAAAACGGTTCAAAGGAACAGAATGCAAGCTATTTATGATTAACTTAGGTTATATTGATATCAGTGTGTCTTTTTGAAATATGATTAACATTTGGTTGGACATTGCCTCTAAATTCTAGAGGACCAGCTGTATTAATATGTTCTAGCACATTTAAGACTAGCAAATGTATTTTAAGTCTCTCTCTCTCTCTCTCTCTCTTTCTGTATGAGACAGACAGACGACTGACTGTGGCCTCCAGTCCACAGAAACTTATCCCATAATAAAGCAGTTAGACTTCAATATGCTGTAAGGCTCTTTGGTTCTCTGTGATGTGAGGAAGAAATTTCTAATGCTATATTTTTCTTTTGAAAATTTGCCACACCATATATATCTGCATTTATCCATGCCTGCCTGGCTATCAAATAGGTTAAGTATGGGTTATTAATATACATTATGCTACTAAGGTAAACATTGACAACCCCTGGTGCCCATGAGGGGAATTAAAAAATAAGATATTCCAACCCCTTTCTGTACACAGTGTAGTTGATTCCTAGCTGGGTCTGGACCAGACTTACCCACGGTGTATTTTCTCTGGTTTGCAACATGATTCAATAACAAACTGAAATAAAACTGGAACCAAGAGTGTGATTGCTGTTTGTTTCAGTCAAGTTCATACGAGCTGCCATGGTAGGTCAGACCAAAGGTCCATTTATCTGGTCCAGCGTTCTGTTCACACAGCTGCCCATGGGGCAGACCCTCCTTCCTTCCTAAGCTCCCCAGCCTATGCAAGAGAGCTACGTCCAGCCTTTAGCAAAGCAGAATTTTCAACTGCATATTCTGAATCGTGTTTTTTGCAACTTGATATAGAACCAATTGAGAGAGTAGGTGAAGATGAGGATGCTACAGTTACCCCAACAAAGGAAAGCTAAACTGTTTGTGTAAGATATAGTATCTCTTTGCATATAGATCCTGAAAACAGTGTGTTCTTTCAGATGTAGTCAGGTTTTGTAAATGGAAAAACATAAAAGAAGTATATGTTACTGCCTTTATATATTTACAAACATTCCAGTAAAATAATTTCCACATAAAGCTTTCAGTATATGATATAAACTGCTGTGTAGTTCATTTAATTTCCTCCTAAGCAACATGTTTGATAAAAGAGTAAGATAAAAGGAGTTCCTTAATCATTGTCTTTATGTAACCAGAAATGTATTCGTTAAGATAAAGCATATGCTTTCATCTGCATAATATAAATATGGACACTATTTTGTTCACAAAGAGAATTCTTAGGACTGACATGCTACTTAGTAAAGGAACCAACATTGGCCGCACTACCTTAGCTGAAGGTCAGTCTTTAGCATGGTATCTGCAATGGAGTCGTTACTAAAATAAGAATGTAGATGAGAGCCAGAAAGTCTGGTGTTGACAGTTATCCCAACCGTATAAGGAACTTCATGGACACACGAGAAGTATTTCACGGCAGGCTGAATGTTTGGTTTGCTCTGGTCTAGTCAAGGTATTAATTATAGCTACTGGATGAACTGTTCAGGTCACTGACTTGAAGTACTAACAGCACGTTAACATATTCAGCAGAAGCAGGATCACGTCTGCAGCTTCTTGATATTAATTCATGCAAATTGTTTCTTACAACATGGAAATGCTAACGCTTTAAAATAGCCTTTTCCAACCTGATGCCCTAATGAGGCTGTGGACTGTACTCCCAGAATCCCTGAGCATGGGACGTGGTCGTTGGAAGATGAAATCCAAAATACAGCAGGACCCTTGCATCACGCAGACCAGTTCCAAGCCCTGCAGTGGATGCTTGAAACTGTGGATAATAGCAAACACTATATTATATATACTTTATATGGTATGTTTCTTTTTTCTCATTCATTCTTACCTCTTTTCTTTCCTTATTAGAACAATAATTTTCACTTCAGGAAGCACTCGACAACTTCTCTTTGGCACTGTATGACTTCTCTTTTGGTTGAAGTCAACCGCAGTTAACTGTAACCCTAATCAAAGTTACAAGTTCCACAAATTTGAGCAGAAGCAGAGCTCATAGAAAGAGGAATCTAGATTCTCTCGAGTCCAGCCTTGGCCAAAGATCCATCAGTCTCTTGGCTGTATCTTGCATGTGTTCCAAGGAGCTTGTGGATTATTTCCTCACAAAACTCCTGTGGATTATTTTGTCCTCACAAAATCCCTGTGTGGTAGTTCTGGCTAAGGGATAGAGGCTGGTCCAAGACCACCAAATAATTTTTGCAGCTGAATAGGGATTGGAACAATAGTCTCCCCAGTCCAAGCTCACAAGAAACACTTGTTCAAGAACACATTTAGAAGCAAATACGGCTGAATTCATCCAAGAAAGTGTACTTAGTACCCTTGCCTTAACTTCAGAAATTCTTCCTAAGTAGTTGTAGGATTTTCAGAGACATGCCACATAACAGTTTGGTAATTGATCACTTCCCTCGTTCATTGTAGGAAAGCCCCCTCCCTTCCTGTTCTCAGTTATCAGTATTCAAGTAATGCTTAACAGGTCCATATAGGTAAATCAACTAGTAAGGTCTGAGGACTTGCCAGGCTACCATATATTTAAATGTTTGGCTCCTATTGTAGCTTTTCTACACTATAGGCTGCTAGTTGCTCTATCTCCTTTCCAGTTTGTTGCTGAATTGAAACCCAAGCTTGAAACAAAGACTTTTTCCTTTCCTGCTTTTTCACAGCCTAACCTCTAGGTGGAGCTCTGCTATCAAACCACACCAGCAGAAAAAGCACTTTCAGAAATAATACTTCATTTCGGCAATGCTAATAGTTTATTCTTCTCCTTCAGGAAATCCCCCTCAAAACCGCTGTGTTCTTTATTTCTCCCAGAGCTTATCTACAAGGGCAAATAGCACTGGGGGTGGGAATTGGAGTGCAGGCAATAGCACAGGGGAAGAGCTAAAAAGTTTGCCCCCTGACCTGCCCTCCTGGCCCAGTTTCCCCACTCCAGCAATGGCTGCTTTTCATTGAGAAAAGAAAGTCCTAACTTTTTTTTTAAAGCTAGCATATGTAACTTATCATGCAGCTAACCTTCAGTGAAGCAGACATAAAGACAACAACTCTTCCAAGCAAGCTATAAATATGGAACATGTATCTAGGTTTTTTTTAGCAGCCATCCCTGCATCTACTTGGTCATTTGTCAGTATATCCTCATATCTTGTTTATTTTTTCAAGTCTTAGAATATCGCCAGTATGTCATATTCAAACAGTTATGCAGTTTTGCTTTATGAGTTGGCAGATTTTTTCTGTTCTAGTAACGGTGCGGAGGCAATATCCTCGATTTTGACACATGCTTGAAAAGAAAGGATTCAGATTCCATTCCATTACTCCAGAGCAAATATAATAAAAATAGGAATCTAAAATGCTCTTTAACTTCCTTCTGGGTGAAATGAAGTATGTTGCATTTCAAAATATATTTGCTGTACTCTCACTCATCAAAATTGAATGTGCAGTCATTGCCCTCTCTGGGAGCGGAGCAGGGCTTGCATCCGGCAGGGTGGGGAATGGATTATTCATCCGTATTTGCAGATTTTCTTGGGATGTGCTGCAGGAGTACTGTAGTTTTCCTTCCTTCCTTAAAGCTTTTTATGAGCTGCCAGTAAATATGAGCATGCATTGAAAACAAAGCAGTTTCCACCAGAAATGCTTTACTTGGCCCCGAGGTTTCGGCAAGGGGCGGCATAGAAATGTTATAATAATAATAATAATGATGATGATGATGTAACAGTTTGCAAACAGTAGTGCTGCTCGCCTCAGGAAACTAACTGGGTAGCCTTAGGCAAGTCACTCTCTCGATTTAGAATTATTTATTTAGAATTTTTGTGTCCCGTCCCATCGCAAGAGCCTCGGGATGGCTTATATACAATACAATAAATAAACAATAAATACAAATAGTGCAAATTAAAATCCAGATTCACCCTGGCTGTAGATGACCCAATCTGTAAAATTACTTGCTTATCTTATGAGAGAGAGGGGACTGATATGAGTTTTCTCTGTTCTCTGGACTTGCAGAGCACTGCCATCTGCTTTGGAATCCCTTGTCTAATTTACTGTTTTATTGTTAAAGATCTACTGCAACACAAACCTCCAAAAGAAGCCAGACAGGAAGGAAACAATCCACAAGACTTATTGTTATCATTATTAAATGGCACTAATGCACCCAAACTATAGAGATAATGTACACAAAACACAACAACTCAACAAAAGTGCTACGATAATGCTTTATTTATTGATTTATTTAATTTATGTGATTTTTTTTTAAACTTGAAAATTCACCTCTGCAACCCGAAAGCGTCCTGTGTGGGGTATTCATTACTATTCCTGGTTGTTCTGTTGGTCTATTGAAGCAGAAGTGGACGCAACCTAGTACGCTCTGAAAGTGTGCTTTCTGTAGTCTAAGGTGGACAGAGGAAGGGGCACTTCAACGCCATAGCGTGGACCTAAGACACCATTCAGGTGAATGGTACTATTTGTACAACGAACTGTTCCTAACAGGGTACTTCCTTGTTATCATTCCAAAGGCATTACCATTCATACATGGACGCGCACACACATTACTAGGCTGACACAATCGAGAACGTTTTTCCATATCAGGCTGCTGTTGCCTGTAAGCATGCCCTGGCTGACAAAATGACATTGCCTTAGTGGAACTCTCACCAGCAGAAGTAGCTAGCAGAGATCATATGTTCCCCTCCGGTTGGAGTGCCACCGTGCTTTGCTACGTGTTGCTTTGCTTCCAATGAATATCTCCCAACCCCGCGATGACATTCAAACTGCTCCACTGTTGAACTCTTAACTTGAAGCTGTTAACACAACGCGCAGCTAAGTCGTGCAGATTGTTTCTTTCTCCTTACTTGTACCATCTGGGGTTTCTTTGGAGCGTTCAGCTGCAGTTGCTTTGTAACGGCTGCAAAGTTAATGATGGAATTCCAAAGCAGGGGGTCTTCCTATGCAATTCCAGAGAATGAAGCAGTTTTGCACACGCATCAGGATGCGCACAGTGACCATGGAAATGAAAGCGAGAGGGTCGTGTCAAAATTGCAACGCAGGCACAGTGACGTAAAAGTATACAAAGAGATGTGTGACTTTTATGCTAGATTGTAAGTTCACCTTATCAGAGTCAGTTTGTTATTTGTATTGCTTGCCTTACTGTAGCTTAATGTTAATTGCTGTTTCTCTGTCTGAGAAGCAGAAACTATTACAATCTGCACATTAACAAAATGCTGTGAGGCTAACCTTTTAACCTTGGTGCTCTGTGTGTGTTGTGATACATGTATTGGTTTCTAGTTCTGGAACAGAAAGACTCTCCGGGATTCCTGACAATGGTTACATAATCCTCTTTGGACAGACTGCAGCAGGACTAGGCAGGTCCTTTGCAGGTGTTTTGGACCACAGTTCTCATGATCCCTGACCGTTGGCCATGCAGACTGGGGAGTACGGGGGTTGTAGTCTAAAACATCGGGAGAACATCACATTGCCAACCCCTGCTGCACAGTCTACACATATAAACGGACAACAAAAGTGGGCATGAGATACTTGTTTGCACTGGGAAAGACATTTAAATATCACACGTCAATATAATCTTGCGAACAATCAGCCGAAATGTGTGCAGGCAGAGTCATGTGTCCTGCGTAGCTGGAAGTAAGCCCGATGTGAACAGAGGGTGCTGTTCTGCTCACATGCTGCTTGTAGGCAGCCCACAAGCATCTGGTGGGCCACCAGGGGAGTAGGAAACTGGAATAGAGTGATCCTTGGCCTGAGCCAACATGCCTCTTCCTGTGTTCCTAAGTAAATGTGCTCCGGATTGCATCTTCGGAGACCATTCTAAGCACGTCTGTTGGGAATTGTGGGGCTTATGTCCACACAGCATGCAGAAGGTTGCATCTTAACCAGTAAATTCTATCAAATGCTGTGGGGCCTATTCTGAGTAAAAATGCATAGGATTATAATTGATTTTAAGGTGCTTCCAGGAAAGGCCCACCCATATTATGTTATGCGGTGTTCAGATGGCACCATCTTTCACTAGTCACCTTCCTGTTGGGCAGAAGAGCTGCATCCTTTTAATAATGGAGGATGGGTGTCCACTTCCTTGTTTTTCTGCTTAAAAGCTACTCCAAAGGTGGATCCTAAAGGAAAATAGGGAGGAGAGGGAAGAAGGAAGAGGACAACTAACAGTATATATGTTCTGGAGTCCCCTTCATACAGGTTCCAGTAGCCTCTTTAGGGAAAGAAAGCTTCCCTTCTGCCAACGTCTCAGGTGGTAGTTTTTTCCTAGGGACTGTGGCAAAATGGTTGTCCCTTCCCAGGCCTCCCTTACGAAGAGGCCTCTTGTAGGAGGCCCTGCGTGGGTGCATTTGTCACCATTGCCTTCACCTTCCTCTCAGATGGCTCCTGAAATAGGAAACAAGATGATGGATGAAGAGGTAAGATTGTCTCCGTCGCTCCCAAATATCAGAGGTGGGACTGTGTTTGCCTCTGGTCTTTGGGCAGGGCCGGGGGACCACGCATGGGGCAGCCAATACAAAAGACTCGTGCGTTGTGTATTACCAGGGCAGAACAGCAGCTCTTTGACATAAAGGCGTGAGAACGTTGCTTTGCCACTCATGTGCTTCTCTCGCTGTTTTTGTTGCAGCAACATGGCCAATGCTCTCGCGAACGCCATGTGCGAGCGCTGTCGAGGAGGCTTTGCGCCCGCGGAGAAGATTGTGAACAGCAACGGGGAGCTGTATCACGAGCAGTGCTTTGTCTGTGCCCAGTGCTTCCAGCAGTTCCCTGAAGGGCTTTTTTATGAGGTTGGTTCCCTTGACTTGTCTACATTCCGCAGATCTTTGTTACATCACTTGTGAATATGGATATGTTCTTCCAAATAGCCTGAAGTGCCTGATCCTGCCTAAACTTGGAAGCTAAGCAGGGTCAGGCCTGGTTGAAATGCGAATGGGTGACTTAACATGTTGTGCACTGCCCAGAGAGCTGTAATAATAATTACTTGAAATTAATCAGGTGATCTGGGTTCTAGTCGCTGCTGAGCCATGGGGCCAACTGGGTGACTTTGGGCCAGTCACAGGGCCAAAATCCAACCTACCTCACAGGGTTGTTGTTGTAGGGATAAGATGGAGAACAGGAGGAGGAGAATGATGTAAGCCATTTTGAGCTTGTAAGAAAAAGACAGGATATAAAACAAGCAAGCAAGCAAATAAATAAAATCTCCTTCCTTGCAGTGCCAATAGGGAATTTGTTGCTTCAGTATTGCCTTTTTTAGTCAGAACTACTACAGAATACAGTAGTGCTTTAAATAAGTTCAGTGCTAGAATCTTTTTTTCCATGAAAGAACTAGTTTTACTACCTGTGAAACATTAATATAGATGCCTTTGAGCATGTGCAGAATTCACTGTTCACCTTGTAGTATAGCTACAGTCCCCTCCCAATATATCTTGGAGTAGCAAGCATGGGCTTTTCATCAGACAGTGCAGCCTAGCACCTCTGCACCCCACTTTTAGATACTGAGCACTAGACAGTGGATTTGTAATGTGAAAATTTGCCACGAGCACTTCTTACTTTATCCCTCAACTACTTCAATCCCACCCTTGCTCAAAATAACTTACAATAGTTTTTCATGATTTCTTTCTCAACTTTAGTTTTTATACCATGCTTGTTCCAAATAGCTTAAAGTCAGTCTGTCTGTCTGTCTGTCTGTCTGTCTGTCTCCCCCTCCCTCCCTCCCTCACACACACACACACACACACACACACTTTATCTTTGTAACCACCCTGAAAGGTAGATTAAAAGAAATGATGGGCCTGTGGTCTTGCTATAAAGTGAATGGCTGGGCGGCCATTGAATTCAGGTCCTCCTGGCTCAGGTCTAGCACTAAGTTCACTGCACCACATACAGTCACTTGTGGAGTTGATCTCTGTAGCTGCACTTTCTCTGGCATAGCCTGCACCCATGTGAAAAGGCCAGCTGGCTGGAAACTATCACTTTTTCATGCAAGCAACTATTCCCAACATGGAACACTTATTGCTTGCTTGCTTGCTTGCTTGCATTTTTATGCCACCCCATAGTCCGAGGGCTCTCTGGGAGGCTCACAGGGAACGGAAAAGAGCACAGCCATAAACCCATAACAAGATTTAAGCTATAACATCTGATGCAACATGAAATCCAGTGAATATAAAATTCAGAACAGGAGAACATAAGGAGCTGTACTGACCTGCCTGATTCCAGAAGCCCTAGTTTCTGGGGTTGCTCCAGGAAATGCTAACTGCCTGATGTGGTGGTGGCCATTCCTGCTAGTGCAACCTAATGAGCACTGTCAAACTGCCAGCTTTGGGTCCTGCCCAAGATATTCAAAGGGCAACGAAAGTGAAGCATAAGCTGCCGATGGAAGATTGCAGAATGCAAACAAGGAGCTTCAAGGGAACATGAGTGGCCAGTTAGGAGATGCTTGTCAAAATGATCAGCACTGGGAGATTTAACGCAGTGAGTCAACCTGGTCACTGATCAAATGTACGTTGTGATGGGCTGTGCTACCCAAAGTGATGCATGTTGAAAGGTAAGAAAAGCTGCCATCTGGAATGGAGGAGAAGGGAAAGGGGGATATTTTGCATTTTGAACAGGAGAGGCTCACTTTTGTAAAAGAAGCATATCTGCTTTGCATGTCCCTTCTCCATGGCATGTACACCAATAACATGTACTGCAAGGATGCTATTTCCAAGCAGAAAGAATTGCTTTTGGTAGCAGTTGCCAGTTAGGAATAATCCCCAAGCCAGTTATTTGCCTTTGTTCAGGATCAGTCTACTGGTTTTGCCTTCTGTCTGGAGCAAATCTCCTATTAATCTTTTAAGTTTTCTGCATATGGTGCTGCTGCATCCTGACAACCTATTCCCTTGGTTACTGCAGGCCTTGAAATACTACTTCTGAATCATGCAATTGCATGGGTTATGGGCCTTATCTGAAGCTTTTCTGCCACCTTAATCTTTGCTTCCATTTATATATAAATAGACCTTTTACTTTATTCTTTTCTGATTTCTGGGCACTGACAATTACCAAATTGTCTTGGTAAGTTGCACTGGTGTTATTTTGCCTGTTTCCATTTGAATTCCATAAGAAGATAGGAATCTAGCCTGACGGAATCATTTCCCTGAGCTAGTCCAAAATGACCATACTCAGCAGACTGCCAACTTACCTTTATTTACCTTGTGCAAGGCTCCTGTTCTGACAGTGTGGCTTCAGGGAGAGTTGCTGTCAATCACAGGAGTAGCAGGTGAGTCAATTTAAACAGGATGCATCAAAGGATGGAGTTCTAGCTGTGATTCAATTCAGAGCTAATGGTGAATCTGAACATACTGGAAAGCATCCACTAGAAATTCAGTGACAGATCATATATCAAGATACTAAAAGAATTGCTTTGGGATGACGCATTGGTTATTTAATGTATAGCACATATTTTATAGAGCTCTCTCAAGGCTTTCTCAAGGAGGCCCCAAAGAAAACGTGGGTCAAAACATGTTAAGAACATAAAGCCACATTAGACCAGATGTGTCTAGTCCAGTGTTCTGTTGGCACACTGGCTAACCAGCTGCCCACAGGGTCCCACAAGCCAGTATAGCTAGACACACTGCCTCTGATATGAGAGACAGCACATGGCATCAGGCTAGTGGCTCTTGATAGCCTCTTCCTCCTCCTCTCTGAATTCTTCCAATCCCTTTTTAAAGCCCTCCGAATTCCCATACTTTAATTATGGGCTGTGTGAAGACATCCTTCTTTTTATGGTCCTTAATCTCCCACCATTCAACTTCATGGAATGATCCCAGGTTCTGATAGGAAAGGGGGAGGAAAATGAATCCCCACCCATTTTTCCTACAACGTGCATAGTTCCGTTCACCTCTACTGTATCTCGCCTTACTTTGTTCTAAGCAGTGGTTTAAACTGTTGAGCTGCTGGGCTGGTTGATCAGAAGGTCGCCGGTTCAAATCTGCACAACGGAGTGAGTTCCCGTTGCTCCGTCCCAGCTCCTGCCAACCTTGCAGTTCGAAAGCATGCAAATGCAAGTAGGTAAAAAGGTACCCCTTCGGTGGGCAGGTAACAGCGTTCCGTGCACTTCGGTGTTTAGTCATGCCGGCCACATGACCACGGAGACTGTCTGCAGACAACGCTGGCTCCCTCGGCTAGGAAACGGAGATGAGCACCGCTCCCTAGAGTCAGGCATGGCTGGACTTAATGTCAAGGGGAAGCCTTAACCTTAACCAATCTCAACACTTGTAAACTTTCTTCATAGAACTGCTTCAACTCTTTGATCATTTTAGTTGTCCTTCTCTGCACTTTTTTCCATCTCTGCGATATCTTTTTTTAGATGTAGTGATCAGAACTGAACACAGTATTCTGTGTGTAGTTGCAGCCTAGATCTGTTTAAGGGCTGTATGAAATTGGCAGTTCCTTTTCTAATTATGCCAAACACGGGGTTAGCCTTTTTCATGGTGGCTGCACAATGAATAAACATTTTCATCAAGCTGGCCACCGCTATCCAAGATCTTGGTCTATTACTGTGAACTCCGAGCTCATGTGTTCTATATTTGAAGCTGGAATTTATTGTCCCAGTGTGTTTACTTTACAGTTGCTTACATCAAATCTTAGTGCCATTTTGGTCTCTTGACTTGGGAGGATCCATTTGGTGCTCTTCGTAATCCCTTCTTGTTTTAACTACCCTAAATAATTGGTGTTTATTCCTGTTGTCATCAGCAAACATAGCAGATCCCTAGAGAACCCCACTGTTTACATAATTTCAATGGGAGAATTTAGCTTGTATTCCTACTCCTTGCTTTCTGTTCTGTAAGTAGTTATCAATCCACGAGAAGACTTCTTTTATTCCACAACTGTGAAGTTTGCTCAGGAGGCTTTACTGAAGGACTTTGCTAAAAGCCTTTTGAAAGTCTAAATAAACAAGTGTCGACCAGATAACCCTGTCCACATGTTGACTTTCCTAAACATAAAGCTGTTTTCTAATATCCTGAGAGATGTTTCTTCCTTGTCAAACCTAAACCACTGTTTGAGCTAGCTCCAGGACTTCATGCTCCTTTTACTACAGCCAAACACAGGGATGAGTAACTGAAGTATAAGTATGTAAGTATAACTATTATGACTCTCTATATGCTGATAGCTCAGCACATTGCGATTTCAAAGACTGTTTGCTTTAGTGTGTCCAATTGCAATGTTCTCGCTGAATGTGATAAGATACTATCTACAGTTATGTAATATTTGGCCTCCTTTTCCATCCCTTCTAAGTAAATTTTATTTGGATTGTCTTGCAGGTCTCCCGAACACAACTTAATACTGTTTCTATGTATTTTGTCAATGTATTAATTTTATATATTGGAATAGCCACCAGGATGCCTTTTGCTTATGGGATCTGCTAGCACAGGCTGCTCTAGAGAGGGAGTTTCCAGAATTTTAGTGTTAGTCCTGGAGATTTGCAATTGGCCTATGGCAACTCGAGACAATGTTCTTTCTCAGAAGCCTTTAATACTGGGAACTTACACATATGTCAATGTCAAACAAGTCTCACTTAAAAGTATACCTTTGTTTCAGGTCTTTGAAGTCTTTACTGATACATCAAGAAAAAGATCAAAGTACACTTGGCTAGAAAATCAGGCACAATGAGCCAGAAAATTTAATTTGTAATTATAAAAGATATATGAAAACCCCTAGGATCTGTTTGTCATAATGGATGGGTAAAACCTTGGTTGTATAAGAGTTACAGATACCCAGGTCTCATATTGTATTTGGATCCTCCAAGCGGAGGAACTCCTGTGAATCCATACTAATGCCATGGTGTAAGTACACCCCATGGACCCTACATAGTCACAAAGACATTTGCCAACTCCTGTTGAAGCTAACATGACCACCTTAGATTGCTCAGCCATCCAGCACTTTTATTTCTCTCTTTCCCTGGGACAAGACCCAAATTTGTCCTTACCAAGTGTCTGCGTTCACATGACATGGCAAACCATAATATCTAGCCATGGTGGATCACCATATCATCTGAACCCAGATGGCATTTAGCAGGGTGGCTTGTTTCAGGGCAGTGAGCCACCCTGACAACTGATGGCTTGTGATTTGTGATACAAAACATCCAGAGGACTCCAGGCTGGGGAAGACTGGTTTAAATCATAATATATTTTAGCAAAGTGTATGCATTAGAGTGTTCCTACCCTGTTCTTAACTACACATTAATTTAGACTCAAGCAGCTGTTCTCAATTTTTTCCACAGACCACTTGAAATGTACTGGGCAGCAGACTAATGAACAAAGGGTGGTTTTTTGCTTTTGGGTTTTTTGCTTGCTCTGCAAAGCAAAGCACAGAAGTCATACTTTAATGACAGGGTTTTCTCAGCAATTGCACTGTCAAAGACCAATGCTATATTATGAAAATTGTAGGCTGTAGCCCAGGCAGCCAGAAAGGGCTCTGGGAACAGCTCAATTTATAGAGATAAACTAGTAGCCTATACCAGTGTCATGTTCCAAAAATCACAGGCCTTATAGCAGTGCCTTCTTAGTTTGCTCGATAATCCAGACTTAGTCAAAATTGCCCCAATTGCCATCAGAAAATAATAATTCAAATACATGGTTAAGTTCATGCATTCTTGACCATTCTGCAACCTTTCTGTGGACCACTAGAATGGAGGAGGGAGACCACCAGTCTAGAGCACTGATTTCTAAAGATTTTTTTTTAACTAAGGAGTAGAACAGAGTTGCACTTACATCTGAGTAAATGTCTATAGGATATTCATTCCAATACCACAAGATGAGTAATACGTACTGCTCTCCAGTAGCACATTGTCCATTGTTAAGCCATCAGTTGGAAATGTCAGATGTAAACCCAGGTTACCGGACTAAGCTGCAGTCCTGTGTACACACTTAGCTAGGAATAAGTGCCATTTAACATAGTGGGACTTGGTTTTGAAAACTTTGCATGCATTAAACTGTCAGTTGCCCTGAAGATAGCTCAAGCGGAACCTAATTAGTTTCATATATACTTGAAGTTAATCTTCTTGTCATTAATAAATTGCCCCATACTCTGAAGTGGAGATTACACGTGGGGGGGAAAGGAATTTAAATGCCGTTTGGTAAGAAATTTCTGCAGTGAACATACCCATCTTTATTTGCCTGTTTCCTGGAGCATATTTTCAGGAAATGTAAAGGACAGAAGGCAGTAGAGTTAACAGAAACCACTTCCTGTTCTGAACACTGGAACAGTTCATCAATTTGATCCAACAAAACAAATACTCAGACTTTGGCAAATGTAGCCACCTTTTCAGGGCTTCTGCCCTGAAAGGTGACCTAGAATATTTTAAATAAATAAATAACAGGCAGTGCTGCATACTGATGTTATACAAATGGAATCCCTTTCCAGCATGAAATCAGAATGTATCTTCTTTTACAATACAGGAACCCTAGAAATTCATCTGCACATCCGTTATATGTGTGGAAATACTATACTTTCCCATATCCCTCTAATAGCCTGGAATGTTTGTTTGTCTTTCAGTTTGAAGGAAGGAAATATTGTGAACATGACTTTCAGATGCTTTTTGCCCCTTGCTGTCATCAATGTGGTAAGTTCTAGGGAAAAAAATCTTTATAAGCATCATTTGTGGGCTGTCTATTGTAGGGGAAAAGAAATATTATTTGTGCTATTTATAAAAAGAAAGCAGTCCTGTAATACAAACAGCCCTTATATCTGTCTGTCTGTCTGTCTGTCTGTTTATCTCCAGTAAGGGTAGATGACATGCCTCCATCCAAACATTTGGGACTGTAGTTCCAATCAGTCGTAGCCAAAATGAGCAGTGGCCAGGTGATGGGAGTTGTAGTCCCAAGCATCTGGAAGGTGCCTGATTGCGCACCCCTGTGTTACAGTGATGACTGTATATTGCATTTTCAGATTCGCATCTTAGAGATAAGGAAAACACTAATTAGTCAAAAGTCTTTTTGTAACTGTGGCATTTTTGTATGCAGTTAGTCTTCTGTAAACTATTACAGACAATTAAACTACATCTTCCTACTACACTATACTAGGACTGTAGACTGTTGTGTACATAATCTTGTTCAAGCCACCCACGTTTGCATCACCTAAAAATGAAGCAAGCGTTGCTAGAGAGGGTTTAAGTCTTCAATGCAAACTAGATCAGAATGTCTGCCCCCCCCCCCCCGCTTGTGCCCTTTGGCAAGAGCAGCAGGTCAAATAACGTAATTAGAATGAGATAGTAATTCTGTTTATCAAGTGCAGGCTTGCCATTTCTGAAACTTAACAGAGGAAATTCCTGCATTATATTAACAAATGGAAAATATCAGTAGGAAGAAATCAGGAGTTGAATCAATAATGCTGTTGACAGAATTGAACAGGGGTTTCCGTGCGTACTTGTGTACGCATGCGGGCATATGTTCTCACACTTATCAGCAATGTTATCCCAATTTTGAAAAGAAACATGGATAGGAACCAAAAGTTTGTGTGTCATGATCTAGGGAAGAAGATGCACACTGAAATGGATGTTCTCTCTTGCTAGCTAGCTCCATGCACTCACAAATATCCATCTTCCACAGCTAGTAATGGGAGGCCTTGGATAATAACAGTCATGCTTACACAGAAACAGAGTGAGTCAGAAGGGTCTCCCGGCCCTTCTAGTCTGACCCCGGCTGTAGCTGGCTCCGCTCACAACATGCCTACCATGTGTGGAAGGAAGTGGAAGGAATGTTGTGACTGCTTAAACCTAATCCTGGGGATAGCTTACTCCTAGGGAGAAATGTGGTCCCACTATATGTGTCCAAAGACAGCAGAGAAGGGGGATTTATGTCTCAGATAGACCATGACAAGTTGCTTCCAAGCAGAGGGCAAATGTAATTGTTAGGACGTAACAGATCTGAGAACTATTGTCCTTTGCTGTTTATTGATTTTCTTGCTATCCATTAAGCTCAGTTATTTCTGGACACCTCCGTTTTCATCTTGCTGTCAGCACTCTTTAATGGCCTTGCTGACATCCTATCTTTGCTGGAGGGGAGGGGAGGGCTATGATTGCTAAGATTATTGGAAGTCCAAATTATTAGATATGGTATTCAGATCATCAGCTACCCTACAAATCAGGGACTAGGGTTAGGGTTAAGGTTAGAGGTTCGACACTGCTGCTTTATTACTTCTGTTATTTCAGGAACTTAGCTGGATCAGAATCAGATGCCAGTGTACAGTGGGCAAAGCACCCTTTAAACAGTATGGGCTGGTTCATATATAACGACAAGCCACGGCGGAAACAGTGGGGGTATGGTTTGTCATTATGTCACAACCCAGCATTGATGGTGAAGCACAGTACGTTCGGTTTCTGTGAAACCATGCAGAGAAACAACGGCTTGTTGTAAGGTTTACTTACTTTACCATGGCTTAGCTTGCAGTCTGAACCCCGTGGCACGGCTTCCATGGGGTTTCCATGCTTCTGTGATGGAGCTGGGCGGCAGGAGCAGCTGCGCTTGTAGCGGTCTCTCCAGCCTGTGTGTTCTGCTCTCCTCTTCTGCCTAGCAAGTCTTGTCCCGCTGTTCTCCGCTTGGCTGCTGTCCGCACACTGAATCCTGGCAGCAGTGGGGCCTTATGGTGCACCACCGCCAGCTTGCACGCCTGTCTGGTCACTGCACCATAGCAGTGCTTTCAGTGGTGCTGTTTGAGAGCCAGTGGTCCCCTACTTAGGAGCACACAGCTGTGAGATCGCCCCAAGAAGCCCAGGGTTGCCCACCCTGTGCCCACCCTCCCTGCCACTCCTGTCTTGTCCCTGGCATTTCTGAAGGCTGTCAGCAAGCCCCACTGTCCCCACTCCCCAGCCACCGCTGCAGGACACAGTCCTTGCAGCCAGTCAGAAAACGTTCCCAGGAAGACGCCCACGCAGGCACCCTTGGGAGAACCTTCTGGGCCGGACACACTCCCTGTGCCTGGCGCAGCCGGCGTGTGCAGATGGCCTTCACGTGCCTGGCTGCGGGGTGAGCCCGCCCTGGCAGTGCGTGCACACGGGGAGCATGGACGCATGTGCAACGAGGGAGGGAGAGGGGTGGACACGTGTGCTTGCATGCATGCGGACACAGAGCAGTGGAGCGCAGGGGAGTGCTCCTGCGCGGCTCTTCTAGAGCGGCAGCACTACTCTAGGGAGGAGGCGGATGCTTCCCTGAGAAGCAAAACAAAAACCAGAAAAAGGCATCTGGCTGCGGCCACCCCTGAAGGAGTGTGTGGGCCACTGAGGGAGAAACAGGTGAGGCAGGCAGGAGAAGTGCATCCTGGGGTTGATTTTCAGCCCTGGTGGCTGATGGGATACGTGCTGCCATTTGGAGGGAGGATGGGGAAGTCCAAAGACCATTCATGTGTAGAAATTGTGTGCCAGTCTGAACTTAGGACACAAGGTGAGATACCATGATGAGTGGTAAACTGTGCAGCTTTGCTCAGTGTTATGTCTGCTTGTTCCCAGTCTGTCTGAATATGCTCATCAAGAGCCAGGTATGGCAAGAGACCGCGGCATGCAAGAATTGTTGATATTTGGATTTGTTTGTTTGTTTTACTTAGAGGAAGAAACAGATAATGCATTAACTCCTGCAACAGAGCTTTCAAAATGAACCCCCTTTTTAATATCTTGATATGCTTTTGATTTGCAGGAGAGTTCATCATTGGTCGTGTTATTAAAGCTATGAACAACAGCTGGCATCCAGAATGCTTCTGCTGTGATATCTGCCAAGAGATCTTGGCAGACATTGGATTTGTGAAGAATGCTGGCAGGTAGGTGTTCTGCTTCTCCCTTGACTGTGCCTCTGAGCATAGTGAATTGATTGCAAGATGAAAAATCTTAGAACCTTGTAGAGAACTGTATTTTTGCTCTTTAATCAGAGGTTGATGTGGATATTGTGTGAATTTTAGATAGCTGGCTCCCTCTTTTCTACCATGAAGCCTTTTCTTGAAAGCTTCTTCCATCCCTTCTGTTAGATTGGGGTTGAGGTTTGCAACTGAATCACCGGACATGTTTGTATGACTCTAGAAGCCAAGGTGAAATCTAATTGCTTTGGGTCTGTTGCTTCATCCAGACCTAGTTCTGCAGTACATGGTAAAACTAGTTTTCTGAAACCATGGAAAGAATCAGTGGTCTGTCTAAGGTTTCCACGCTTCACCATGGTTTCTCTAGTTCTCTGGATCCAGGACCATTGCTGGTATGGAAAGACCATAGAGTGTCCTGGGAAGAGCAGCTGCAGAATTGGCTCCTTCTAGCCTTTATTCTCTGCTGCCCTCAGTATCCTAGCAACAGATGTGCCATTGTTTGTCTTGACATGCAATGTGTCTGCCTCCCTGCTTACTTTTGGAAATAGAGACAGTGCAAAAATACACAAAGGAAGAAATAATGGCAAAACTGTTTATTTTCATTTAATAAAAATGTGGGGGGTTGGCGCATCTGGGAATTGTCACAGGCATGTGGAAAGGAGGAAACCCACCTCAGGTCACGGCAGAGCAATCAGGAGATCCATAGGCAAGAATAGGAAAAGGACGGGGCTTTTGCTAACAGGATGTGTGGCAAGGCCAGAAGGACAGAATGGAGAGTTCAGAAACCACACCACCTGGGTAACCATTTAATCATTAACTGTAAGTTAGGGCAAAAATGTATATGCCATGTGAAAAGCACAAGAGGTTTTGTCATGTGGTATGAAGCCAACCACTCACATCAGCATCAGCATCACACTTATAGACCACCCCATTAGCCTATAGGGCTTTCAGTGTAGTGTACAATATAAAATACAAGAAAAGCATTAACATAGTTAATATTTTCCTACAAAGCAAACATTTAAAATACATTTTCTCATAAAACTTATTAAAATACATTAAATCATAATAAAAACAAGTATTGTAAGTGGCTGTCTGTTCCCAGGCGGATATACAACTCTTCTAGCAAAGTTAGAACTTTCCTATCAGGATTGGTAAATAAAGGGGGATTGTGCATTATGTAGATCCCTAATGTTTATCAGGGATACACGCTACATGGTAGACACTACTTGGAAAAATGCAAGTCTTTTCCAGATTCTGAAAAGCTGCCTTAGATGAAAGCAAGACTTTGTATAGTCTTGTAATCAGAAAAGAACAAAAACAACCCCTAAATACTGTCAATGGGCCCCATGTACACACTTGCCCTACTGTACTCCCTTCCAAACAATTATTGTACCCATTGTTTGTCTTACTTAGAGTAGACCCACTGGAAAGAATGCTATTTATGTAGTTTTACATTGGATAGAATTTATAACACCTAAGCATGGTCTGTTTACATATGATTAAATGATTTATCTGAATATTCAAACCATGATAAAGGTTTAGTCACACAACAGGATGGGAAGCAAAGCATGGTTTATGTTCATCATGGTATAATTAAGAAAACTCCCCACCTATCCAACCTCTTATTTGTTTAATAATAATTATTAAATAAATAAATAATAGGTATTTAATATTATTGAGAGCCCTGCTCTTCAGCCAAAAAAGACTCCCAAAGCAGCTTAAAGAAATTAATGAGGCAGTCCCTACTGTCAAGTTTACAATCTAAAAGACACAATGCAAAAGGAAAGGGGATTGAGAGAGAAGAGGAAAAAGACAAAACTCCGGCATGACTCTTCGTGATATTGTTCTACTTTTCTGTCCATTGGAAAAGGTTAAGACAGCAAATATGCTTATTGCAAGCTAATGAGTCTATGCCTTAAACAGTTATCTGGGACTTTGATTTAGCAGAACAAAAAGTTGCTGACACCTTACCATCTATAAAAGCCTTGTGTTAAAAATTTCTCCTTTTCATTGATTCCTTCAAATCTATACCATAATGCATATTTTTATCTACTGCGTCCGTTGGAGGTACTCAGAAAGAAGGTTCATATTAATTTCATTATTAATATATTATACAGAAACTACTCATGGCATAAAGCAGTATTGATGTATTCATGGTCCTAATCCATCACTTTGTCTGTCTTCATATGTCAATTGTGGTAGCTCCTAAAATGGTGGGCAGTTAAAACTCTGTACTTGGCATACTCATGGTGTAGGGATGGAACAAAAGAACTGTGACTGGACAAAAAATAGCCACATATTTTCTTCTGCAGAAATGCTCTCTCTCTCCAAAAAATAAAAAAATAAAAATAAACCATACAGTGCCATTCTAACTAGCTTAGTAGCAATTCTGGTTGTGCAAGAAATTGCACAAGCTCAATGTTCCCATCACATTTAATTTTACTTTTCTTGCAGAATATTTTAGTGAGAGATGTGAAATAACCTTCCCACAACATTATAATATTTTCCATAGAAAAGCACAAAGGGAACTAGACACAAGAACACGGTTAAGAGTTGCAGCCTTAAGGGGATGCATGTTTGATATCTAAGAACTATGAAACAGTTTTAGTGCATTTAGGATAGAGGAACACGATTTACTTTGAGTGAAAGATTGGCTGATTTCTGGTGTAAATCAGTGGGTTAATCTTTCATTGGGTAATATTAGGCTTATTTGCATGATCAGGGACTACATCTTTGTTCTACACTAAAAGCATTATTACAGCAGACTTTTCTAAAAAATGATATTTTTGCACATCTTCTATTTGAGAAATAGAGCAATAGTAAATGACTCTGTAGTGGATGACAGTAAAGTAGCTGGTTTATCTTTGTCATAATAAAGTTTCTTACCCTTATAGATTATTAAATTGTTTACTGAAGCCATTTTCCCCCTAAAATTCAAGAAAGCACTTTCTTACCAAACTTTTTCTCCTTATCTGATGCAGGCACCTTTGCCGTCCTTGCCATAACCGGGAAAAAGCCAGAGGCCTTGGCAAGTACATTTGCCAAAAGTGCCATGCCATCATTGATGAACAACCTCTCATCTTCAAGAATGACCCATATCATCCCGATCATTTCAATTGTGCCAACTGCGGGTAACAGGAATTTCTTTTTTTAAACCCCCAAAGGTTTAACATTTACATTTTTACAACAGAGTGCTTGAGGACAACATTTGAAGGTAAAATACTCTTAGCAAACATTTAATGATGAAGTCAATACTTCTTAAGCCTCTTGCACCCTGATCCTGTTCAAGTTGACTCAGAAGGAATGCCCACCATGTTCAGCTGGGATGCCTTCTAGTGCCCAGGACTACTATGTACACTCCTTCTGCTCATGCTTTCTGAGAGTTCAGTGGCACATCACTTTATCCAAAAGTAAATTCAGGGGCCCTGATCCAGAAGAGAACCCTGGCTTTAACTCTTTGCTCCACACTGTGGTATGATCTGGAGGAGGGGATTGGGTCACCCTCAGTTTTTCAACTATTCTCAAATAGTTTGCTGAGGAATTAATTCCAATCTATAACTAAATATATAATGATACAAGCTTTTCTTTCTGGAATGTCCACCAGTGGACCTGTATGTCTGTATTGCTATATCTTCATGATTCTTCTATTAACTGGTGAACAGGAAAGAGCTTACAGCTGAAGCACGAGAGCTGAAGGGAGAGCTGTACTGCTTGCCGTGCCATGACAAAATGGGAGTCCCTATCTGTGGTGCGTGCAGGAGGCCCATCGAAGGGCGAGTGGTGAATGCAATGGGCAAACAGTGGCATGTAGAGGTAAGTGTGGTCTATTTGTGTGAGCTGTTAATGGAAGCATGGGTACAATCAACCTGAAATACTAGGTTAGAGAATGGAGTCTTCACAATGGTCCGTATGGTCTGGATCACTTCACTGGTTGTGCTATACATGAGGCATGAATTCCTGTAAGTCCCTCTCTCTATCCCTGGCAGCAGAAACACAAGAACAAAATGTGTAACTAAGAATTGGCTGCCCATCAGGATACCCCAAAGCTTCTGGCGATGCAGCTGCCTCTCATTGTTTCATGGGAGGGCTGGCCTTGCCCCCAGGGCCCTCCCCACAGAAAGAATACAGGAATTTGGGTTCTCTGCATCGTAACACAGAAACAGTGCTATAGCTCCATCATTCACTTGTTCGCTTGTTCATTCATTCATTCAAAACATTTGTATGCCACCTGTTGTGCCATAGAATCACTAGACGGCTCCCAATCAAATTAAAAACCATTATAAAAACCAATTATACAACTAAAACCCCCTAAAATCCATAAACAATATCAGTTGAAATACAGGTAAGACACAAATAAAGGTTCATGACATCAGATATTAAAATGCTTCTTAAAATGGCAGCAACAGCTCTATATCCTACAGCCCTTCAACTACCATAACTCCAGTACAGTTTTGCTGTGTGAAATTGCTAAGGCAGCTTTGGTAATCTTCTCTCCAGTAACTTTGTGTGGTAGTATCCAGGTACTTTTATGTCTGTTTGAGAGAAAGAGAGAGGTAGGTATCCTAAAAGTATTCAATATAGCTTGCTCTATGACAGCATGTTAAGAACCAAAGCTTAAATTGTATGCTTTAAGATCACATTGGAAGTGATCCTCCAGATTAAATAATTATGTAAAGGAAAAATAATCTCTGCCTTTTTCTTTGTAGCATTTTGTCTGTGCAAAGTGTGAGAAACCATTCCTAGGCCACCGCCACTATGAGAGGAAGGGCCTGGCATATTGTGAAACCCATTACAATCAGGTATGGTTGCACTGTGCATTTCAACTTTTCACATTCGGCTAGTTGTTTCTAGCATGCTAATTCTCACATCTGGTCCCTGGTCTCAGATGGCCGTGCCCCTTTTTTGTGTGATGAGTTGTTTGGTGGCTTCCCAGCTTTTCCCATTCTTTTCCTCTTTGCAAAAGATTAACATGGGACTCCTAAGTCTTGGTTACCAGCAATGAACTAGTTATGCTAAGTGCTGCTGGTTTATTTGGACCCATCCCTTTTGCTTTTAGCCATGCCCTTGCTTGCCTTCAGCCCAATCCACCCTTGGAATGCTCCCCCACAGCAAAACAAAACAAAACAAACTTTTTCAAAATGGCAATTGACCATCAGGCTTAAAGAGATTTAACATTCCCTCTCATCTGAAGGATCAAGTGTAAATTAAAACGTGATTGTCTTAATAGAAGCATAGAATATAAAGCAGAGACAATAATATTGAGAATGTTCTGAACCTTGACTTTCTGCTTGTTTAAGTCATAATGCAACTTGTGCTTTGAATTTACTATAATCTGTTAATGTATGCTATTGTCACACTAACATCATCAGTGATTTATGAAATTCGCACTCTGTTCCCTAAATAAAAACAACCTGTTCAAACTTCGTACGTACGTGTTCATATTCAGCAGCTGCTGTCTACTGACTCTCACTGTGTGATCTCTTAGCCCATGTATTACAGCTGCTTGTTGTGTTGATGTGCACCACCAAGTGGTGACTTGAGGCCATAACTCGGAGCATATGTTCTGCATGCAGAAGGTTCCATGTTCAATCGTTGGCATCTCCAAATAGGGCTGAGAAACACATGTGTCTGACCAGACAGACAGTGCCAGCTAGTGTGGAGAACAGCCGAGCGAGATGTATTGCATGGCTGACTCAGTAGAAAACAGCTTTGCTTCTCTGACTAATTGTATGTTTTGGCAACACAAATATTGGTGAGATCTAACACTTTGTGCAGTTGCCTTTGAATGGATTTGGACCACCCTGTAGCACAGGGGGCTGGTGGCAATCACTTCATTGTGGGATCCTCATTAAATTGGATCGTACTGAAATGTGTGTCACCTGGGACCCCCGAAAGGAAACTGCTTTGTTGGCAATGTACACACCCTCTTCAGTACTTCCAACATCTCAACATAGAAAGTATGTTCAGTTCTTTACTAAGGAGTTCACACAAGTATAAGAATATGCTTTTAAATCTGAAGCTGAAATATCATACTTGAACATCTTCTTCGTGTTTTCTGTAAGGGGTTCTTATACATTCTGTAATCATCCCCTTGCTACATCTTCACACCTGCACATGCTAAAAATTACTCTGTGATATATAGGAGCTTAATGCAATAACACTGTAATTTTAAACATTTGTAATACTGAACTACCTCCCTATATTAGAGCAGAAGTAGGTAACTTGTGGTCCTCCAAAAGTGCTGACCTACAGTTCTCATGATCTCTCACCATTGATATACTGCCTTGAATTGGCAGTTATAAGCTAAAGTATCAAGTGGGTCACAAGTTGCCCACCCCGTATTAGAACGTTAACTTTTGCCTGGGTGTCTTCTTTCCTGTTTTTCTCCTGCTTTTCCTCCCAGATTTTCAGTAGATGTAGAGTGATGGTGGCCACTATGGAGAGCTTTATGAAATTGAATAAAAGTAAAAGCCGCTGGAGTTGATAGGCCTAACTGGACTGATCTGCACAATTCAGCAATCTTAGAATAATTAGACAATTACTAATAATTGGATAAACCTGTCATATCAAAGAATTGTCTCACATCATCCTGATATTATTGGAGTACTATATTGATGAGAGGAAAGATACACGGTGAAAACACATGTAGCTACATTTTTTAAAAAGTTGTAAGTCATATGATCCACTGCTGTTCTTCATTTCTGAAGTTCTGAGGATGTGCATGTGACTTAAAAACATTTTTTTCATTGCCACAGCTATTTGGTGATGTTTGCTTCCACTGTAATCGTGTGATTGAAGGAGATGGTGAGTCTCATGTTTTAACATTTCAAAAAGATGCTTAGTAGAAGTTAACCAAGAAAGCAAAAGATCATTGTAAACAACTGGCAAAGTTCATTTCAAAATAAAATACCCCAAATATTCATAAGGATTTATGAGAGGATTTACCACTGAGCCATTCTGTTACCAGTGCAAATGCTTCTTGGCTACTGCTTACTGCATTTCTACTGCTGCTTAAAGTAGTGGTAAAGCTTGTTTTTGTTTTAGTAAAAGTTAAGGCACTGGAATCCTAAGCCACCTTGTCTACAATGAAAAGCTACCTGTTCTGTCCCTAATGGAATTTCTCCCAGCTTCCAAAGATAGCAAAATATCTTCTAGGGATGTATTCATGTGTTGCCCCGCCCCACCCCACCCCACCCTTGAAAGGATGGAAATGGCTGGATTAAATAGTTTGGCCCCGCACTAGTTCAGACTGGGGGCCTGGCAAGTGCCCAGTATGAACCATGTTACGCTCTAGAGTGTGTCTCAGGATTCTCCATAGTGTATAGAGACTATTTTGCAGCCAAGTGGATGTGGATAGAATCCCCTAAAAGTTAAGAGTTTGAAAATCATGGACTTGTCCAATATTAGTGCAGATGCAGTTGTTCTGAGAGGACCTGTAGCAAAGTACCCTCTACCCTTAAACTTTAGTTCCTCTCAGGCAGATTTAAGGGCAGCAGGTTGCAAGAGCAGTGCCATGTTTTGTATGGGCAGTTGCAGGCTGATCCCCAGTGTAACTTCCCAAATAATATTCTGAGGCAATGGGGGCAGTCCTCGACAAGCTTCAGAACCACTCACAGCTGCTGCTTAGTACATCTGAAACTAAGATAGGTGGTGGGAGGGATAGTACAGAACAGACATCTCTGCAGAGCAGTTCTGCTCAAGAATGCCAATGCTGCGACTGGACCTTCTATGCCAACAAATAATTCAAGGGAGGATACCTTGCAACCCTCCAGATGTTGTTGGACTGCAGCTCCCATCAACCCTTGCCAGCACAATCAATTGTGAGGTATGATGCAGCCTAGCAACATCTGGAGGGCCGCAAGTTGGCCATTCCTGAGATCAGCGCTAACCATGATACATACCAGTTATCACCCATGTGTAGCATTCAAAATGTATCACTTTGGTATCGCCATTGCCTAAACACATGCAAATATAATTTCAAGCAAATGACACATCGGGGAAGGTCTTTACCTGTAGCTTATAAATATTTCAAATAAACAACTTATAGTGATTTGCAAAAAAGCTGTATCTCTTGTTAAATAATATTGTAGCAATATATGCCATGAAATGCTGATGGATGATATAATCAATTTTCACTCTTTGCAACAGATGGATTGCCTTTGATTAATCCAGTCATTTTTTCCATCCTTCTTAGTTGTGTCTGCCTTGAACAAGGCGTGGTGTGTGAACTGCTTTGCATGTTCTACTTGCAACACTAAGTTAACACTAAAGTAAGTTTGTTGATTTTTATGGTCGCATGTTTGATGTATATTTGCTTTTGCTCTGTGAAGCTGTGCTCTTACTGAGGTAAGGAAATGGGGGAGAATGAGGGCCTTGTTTGATTGTCCAGTATTGTGCTAGGCTGAACAATTCTACTTGAGTACAGTCCTGCTTACTTTGGGGAACATTACTGCACAAAGAAACATGCCTGCCCCATTTTTTTTTTGTGCAGGATACAGTAGGCAGGATGGTAGATTACTATACATTCAACATTTGTCTCTGTATTTGAACGTTTAAAAAGTGCAGCCTTAGGTGAACCAGTTCAGTATGCAGGATTAAGGCCATTGTGCACATTCTAAATTTAGCAGACAATCCTGGTTGTGCACCAGAATAATAGGCAAGAGCTGCAACCTTTTCTTCTCCTATCTGTTCATGCTGACCCATAGCCAGCAACTGGCTGCAGTCCCCGCCCCTCGTCTGTGTGGGTTTCCCTTCTTGGGCATTTGTAATGCACACGGTTTGCCTTCTCCCTTTATAATGAATGGAACCGCCCTTAGAAGCTGCACACACTTAAGGAGGTATGTGCCTCCATGGAGAAGCACTGCAGTGATGAAGCCATTATCACCATAATGACCATGCAGCTTCTGGCAAAGGGCAGGCACCCCTTTCCTATTAGTGCTACTTTTGCTTCATTTCGTTTTTCTTCTGCATTCTGTCCCACTTGCCTGCATCTTGACTCTTTCCTGTTCTCTGCTCTATTCCTCCTCTGCTCAACCTAAAAGGGACAAGTTTGTTGAAATCGATCTGAAACCTGTCTGCAGACACTGTTATGAGAAAATGCCAGAAGAATTTAAGCGGCGACTTGCCAAACGGGAGCGTGAAGCAAAGGAAAAAGACAAACACAAAAAGAAAAAGCCAGTCTGTCTGTAAATATCTCAGTCCTGCTTTCCTCCAACTGTGCTTCTTCCTTTTGGTCAGTTTGAGGGAAAGCTTTTCTTTTAGATGCTGTTGCTTTTATATGTGATCATTATAAAACAAAGTCAGGTTTCCAAATGTGTAAGTGATGAGGCTTGCATGGCCCTTGGTTGAGTACACTGTAAAACATACAGCTTTGATTTGATAAATTAATTAATGTATTTATCTGTCTATCTATCTAAAATATTTGTATCCCGTCTTATATCCAATCAGCATCTCTAGACAGATTACAGATAATAAAACAGAGTAGCTAGATCCACAATTTGAATCCTGAAGTACTATCTATCTATCTATCTATCTATCTATCTATCTATATATATATATTTAAAAAAATACAGTTAAAGCATTCAGCCATTAAAATGCTGGACAAATAAAGCCTTGGCTTGATGCCAAAATGAAGGGTTAACGCCAGGTCCCTGGGGTGCTAACGGTGAGCAGGCCCTTCTCCAAGTAGCTATTCTTCTAACCTCTTTCAAAAAGGGCTCCTGCAGAAGGACCTCAGCAGATGATCTTAAGGTATGGGCAGGTGTATTATGGAAGGAGATGTTCCTTCAGATATCCAGAACCTAAACTGTTTAGGGCTTTATATGTCAGCATTAACACCTTAAATTGGGCTCAGACTTCAACTGGTAACCCTTAGAGATGGTAAAGAACTGGTGTTATATGGTCTTGCCTGCCAGTCCTGGTTAATTAATTTAATTCATTAAATAGCAGTCCTTTGTCTCAAAAAAATCCCTTTACTGGTCAATACTTTTTACAGGAGCCACATATGGAATACATGCTATTTGTGCTAAAGTACTGTTTTTGGTTGAATATCTGATAAGTAAATCAATACAGGAAAGGTGAATGTGACTTGCCTCCAGGTTAATATGGTTGCATTTCAATAAAGGTGAATGTAGCTGCTTCCACATGTGGCTCTTATCGTACAGTCACCTTTCCTTATACATAGTTTGTTTGTACAATCACAGATTGAATTTTGCCTACTTGAAAAATTAGACTAAATTGGGAATAATAGCAGAGCATCCACTTACGTACCAGTGTCCTCACATACTGTCTGGGTCATAGGTTGCTGAGTATGAAGTTTTGAGGCTAAACAACCCAGAGGTTAATCCATGGTTTATTTTAGGTTAGTTGCTAGGTTGTTTAGGTTTGCATATCATCCTCCAAAGTACAAGCTGACTGATTACAGTTGTTCATTAAAACTTGTGCATGATGAGTCATGAATTTAGTTGTAATTTGTTCTGATGTGTGAACTGACCCATAGCGTATATTAATAATTGTAGCCCTCATGGTTCTTTTTGCACATACATCTCTTTCTATGATGGGGAAGCACTGCACCCAGAGATCTCAAACAGACATATGTGAACCATAAACACTCACTTTCTCTTACCCTGTGGCCATTCAAATTACAAGCCCCTTACAGATTAGAACCAAATATCAGTCTCTTTGGCTTTATAAATGTGTAAAGAGAGGAGAGAAAAGTACAACCTACACTGAGTTTCAGAGCAATATATGAACACTTCAAAGAAAGATTGTCTCCTCTAAGGCTCTACTTTTTCTTTCCCTATACTTTTTTTAAAGAAACAAATTTGTGGAATTTGATATGAAACCTGTTTGTAAGAAGTGCTATGAGAAGTTTCCACTGGAGCTCAAGAAGAGACTGAAGAAATTGGCTGAGACTTTGGGAAGGAAATGAGAGCTTCTTCAGATACCACTATGCATACTTTATGTTATCGCTGTTACAGACTTCCTTTTGATGCGTCTATAAAACCTAAGCAAACAAACAAAAAAGGTATTCTCCTGCAAGACCAGCTTCATTCTAAAATGTCTTCCTCACCATCTTGAAAATATACCTCTTTACCTCTTATGTAACCTTTTATTCTGCCATTTAAATTCTGTATTTTATACTTGCATACATGTGTAGATATAGCTTGTATTTGCTTAGTAAACGTCAGATAAAAAAAATAGGCCTTTATATTGCAGTGGGGTCCATTTGAGTGGATGTTGGTGCTAAGTAGCCTAAACTGGGCAAGATTCCCTTGCCAAACAAAACAGACCTTAGTTTAAACTAGGACTGCAACAAAAATTATCAAAATTTTTCCCATTCTCATTCAATTTGATAAAAAAATTAATTGCTTTTAAAAAAAATTCAAATTCTTCAGGATTCTGAAGGAACGGTGGTTCTTGTAGTACAGGGCATCCACATACACTCCCACCCCCACAAACACACATGGAAGAAAAGAAGCTGTACTCCAGCATTTGATGACAGTGAGCCCACTTGCAAGAAAGCTTTGAGAATTCCCACACACCCCAGCCACCTATTTATTGCCAAATAAGGTGAAATTCAAACTACACTCCAGTATAATTTGTGTACCAAGTGGAAACTGCTAGAGCAAAGCAGAAGAAGGAAACCAGAGAGTTTGTAAGTAGATAGCTGAAGGCTGCAACCCTAGATACTCTTCTTTGTGAGTAAAACACATTGAACTCAGTGTGACATACTTCTGAAAAGACATTCATTTGAATGTACTGTTAAGTGCCTACAGGAGAAATTAACTGCATCATGCCATAGAATTAAGTACTTACCAATAGATAGACTTTTTTTAAAAAAAACTCAATGTTATTGTGTTAAAAAATGAGTAACTTTTACCAAAGTTTGGGTGGTGCTTAAAGGATATGTCTAGTTCCTAAGCTAACTTTCACTTAACCATTCTGTGGCCACTATTAATGTTAAAAGCAGTGATACCAGTCTCTACAAATCATGAGATTTTTGAAAGAAACTGTTATTATTTAAGAACTAATTGTGAGCGAATGAGGGGCAGACAGCTTTGTGAACGTTATGCAGTTGCCGTGAGGGTCAGCTTTAACAGCCAAACAAGTTCGATTATTAATAAAACCTTATTTCAAAATAGAAATAAGCAGAGAAAAAAGCAGAGAAGCTTTGTTCAGATTAATAGTAATCGTAATTAAACAGTAAATAGCAGATTAAAGGTTGTCATTCTTAAGTCTGGAATGATAACTCTGGAATCCATCAATGAAAGACTACAACCCTAAGTATTTAATGGCACCATGAAAATATCTGTATGCGAAGCTACCTGAATTTTCTGGGGCTCTTTCTTTGTTACAGAAAAAATGTTCTGGATGCTTTTTGTATTTCATTTCACTGTTGTGCCTTAATTCTGCCAAGCTTATGCCATATGAGTCAAAATATTTAACATTTGTATATGGTTACTTTGAATTTTTATGCAAAAATATGTGCTGGGTATTTCAAAAAATGGCATATGCTAAACATTTTGGACTTACAATTTTTCTCCTGTGCTGAGAAAGGCTTGCATATGTCAAAGCATGATGCCTTTTCCCCCTCAGCTTACCTGTTTTAAAACAGTACATGAAATACAAACCTCAATATGTCCCAATTATATCTGAAAGTATATTGTGCTACTTAATCATAAAAAATGTATTGTTAACCATGTCTGTCCCTTGTGAGTAGAACTAAACTTGTTTGACATCCTGTGCTAATACTATTCCCACTTAACCTGGGAGTAAGCTACACTGAACTCCATGAGGCAAATGTCTCAAGAGCCATGTATAGGATTGCTCTGTAGGAAATAGGATTTGTTACAGAATTTTGAAATTACTATTTGTATTCCTATTAGCAAACTATTATATTTGCTTAGTGCTCTTGCAAAGGTTTCAGGCAGCTTGTAATATAAAAGTACTCTTTGGCAAGCCATCTTCAAGTACTATGATGCAGCTCACAGGAGGCTGGTTCAACAGTCCCCAAAGAGAAGGTACAGTAATTTGTTTATCTCAGCATGTTTCTAGCATTCACACAGTTTTGCCTTCCTCCCTAACTAATAAGGGGGATGCACTTGCAGAATATTTTAAATACTGGAATAGCTCTTGATGAGCTCAATTTTCACTAACAATAGAAAATTTATGAGAATTCTCATAAATTCTCTTGGAGGAAGATACAATGCTTCACGGAAGATCCTATCTTGGGAGACATTTCACCAGATCCCGGCATTCTGTTCATGTCTGCACTGGTTTGTTTCCACCCTGGCATTTTACTTTTGACTGCATCTGTTTGCTCAAGAGTTCTAATAAAATACAGGTCTACGTGCATAAATGGAAAAACAGCCAACATCTGTGGTATCTATCATATTAGTACGTAAGGTGAAGTATTGACAGGAGTATGCTGAATTTAGTACTTTTCCATTGGAATTTAATAGGACTGAACATTTCCCCTCAATATTAAAGGTAGAGTTCAGATGTTTAATTTTTTAAGCACATATGTCAGATATAGATGATGCATGGTGAAATCCTGTGCATATTTACTCAGGAATGAGTCTCAGTGTGGGTTAGTGAAGCTTAATCCCAGGTGTTTCAGTATAAGTGCTTAGCCCAACCTAGTATCTAAAGGTTATATAGTTCCAACTGAAACTTTTTTCATTTATTTTTTAAAAAAGTATTCTGTAGCTGGAAATACTTAAGTCCAACCAATAAAGTTCCAGAAATAATAAATTAGTCTGTCTGTTTCTTAGAAGGCAATGGAAAAAAGAAAACCGTGTACTACCAAATCTCCTGTCTACTCATGTTAAGCTGCATTTTGCCACTGCTACTCTGAAACAACATGGGTTAGGTGTGCCCAACCTATGGAAAAATAAGAATAACTAGAAAAATGCAAAAATGGACAGGAAATAGACATGCCCACTGTACCCCTGGGAACACCACTCATGTGTACCAGTTAAGGACTGTAGCACTACTGACATCTGTACACATTGCACACACATGAAGGAAACCAGTGAAATGACCACAACCAGGACAGGCCAAGCATGAACACAACATGCAAAATACCAACAGAGCGACCACATCCCAGCAGCCCCAGGGCTTCCATTCCAAGCATTTCTGTAGGTTGTCATTCAAACACCTTATGTTCCTTGGAGCACATCAACTGAACAAAGGAAAGAGAGTCCATTGAACACGATACCCACATTATCCACGAGTTGGTGGCCTGTACAAAGTATGTACCATTCTCATGAGCTCATAGACCAAGTCCTCCTGCTATTTTGGAATTGTGCCAAGAGATGGACACTAGAACTTTTCCACCTTCCACGCACCCCTGAAATCTTCCTGGGGAAAGTTTAATTAATGTCCCTGCAGTTTACCAGTGCTTTCCATGGCCATGTAAGTTGATGCAATAGACATATTATGCATCAGCATTTTTTGAAAGATTGTTAACGATTTCTCAATCTACCATGCCCTTCTTAGTTTCTTATCAAGTTCAGTGTTTAGCCAATAACACTGGATTTATGAGGCATTTCTATGTCTGTTTTCTTGTTTTTATTGTTTACTGCATTCAGGTGAGTTCAGCGAAGGGCTACAGGGGTATACTGTCACACCGATCTGATCTGCAATTCAGAGGTTCGGTTCGGTTCGGAAATCAGTTTCTTGTCATGGCAACTAGGTTTATTTACAATTGAATGCATGGATCCATGGATGCCTAAGAAGGAACACCCCATGTTAATTTCCTTAAGGTTATATAGAATACACAAAAGGGGAGTGAATACAATACACAGGAAGGTGATTGGATACTTTGATATGGATAGGAAAGTGATTGGATACACGTCACAGCACCATAAAGAAAAGTTACATTTCACTCTAATTAGATGCCTTTGACAGGCCTTCTAAAGTTACCTTGAACAGGCTGGCCAAGTTAAGTAAACAAAAAGGTTACATGTGTGAACTTACAGGGTTAGGGAGGCACTTTAGCAAGCCTATAAAACACAGCGATTACACTTTGACAGTTACCCACTAATGGAGTGGGGTCATCTGGTCTTCACCACCAGACGAGGCATCTTTTGATGTGTTTATGGCAAGGCAGTGAGATGGGATGAGGTGGTGAGGTGGGATGGTAAGAATTGTTTTTCTGAGTACAATACTTACTCTTACAATTATATTAACCAGTTTGTTACTATGCGCTGTCAAGTGTTGCCAATATATGGTAATCCTATGAATGAATGTCCTCCAAAATATCCTGGCCTTCACAGCCTTGCTTATTTCTTGTATACTCAAGATTGTGGCTTCCTTTACGGATTTAATGCATCCAATATTTGGCCTTCCTCTTCTGCCTTTGACTTGCCCAAGCATTATTGTCTTCTTCAGTGAAACTTCCCTTCTTGTACTTGGATGTGCCTGAAGTACAACAGTCACAGTTTTGCCTGTAGAGAAAGTTCTGATTGGATTTGATCTAGGATCCACTTGTTCATCTTTCTAGGTCTGGGGCATTTACAAAGCTCTTCTCCAGCAGCTTGGGAGTGCTCCTTGACCCAGAACTGTCTTTGGAAGCTCAAGCGACTGCGGTGGTGAGGAGCGCTTTCCTTCAGCTGCAGTCCATCCATCAGCTGCATCCCTACCTGGAGGATGCTTGCCTAGCGACAGTGACACATGCATTGGTTACTTCCCGATTGGATTTCTGTAACACGCTCTACGTGGGGCTGCCCTTGAAGACGGTCTGGATACTTCAGATGGTGCAGAATAGAGCTGCCAGGTTGCTGACGGGGACTGGGCGTTATTCTCACATAACCCCAGTCCTCTACCAGCTTCATTGGCTTCCCATCGAAGTCCGGGCTCAGTTCAAGGTGCTGGTTATCAGCTATAAAGCCCTTAATGGCTTGGGACCTGGATACCTAAAGGAACGCCTTCTTCCGTATTCGCCCTCCCACCCCCTGAGATTGGCAGCAGAGGCCCTCCTCCGGGAACCCTCCGTGAAAGACATTAGGAGGCAAAGTACCTGGAAGAGGACTTTCTCTGCGGTGGCACCCCATCTATGGAATACACTCCCCAGAGAGGTCCACCTGGCACCATTGTTATTTGTTTTTCAGTGCCAGGCTAAAACCTTTTTATTTAAACAATATTTTAATAATTTTTAATATCATCTATAGGTTTTAATTTGCAGCCAGGGTGAATCTGGATTTTATTTGTATTATTTGTATTATGTTTATTTTATGTAAGCCGGATGGCATACAAAAATTCTAAATAAATAAATAATAAATAAATGTTTCAAATGCATCCATTTTCTTCTTGTCAGTTTCCTTCACTGTCCAGTTTTCACACCCATACATAGCGATGAGAACTGCAATAGTGTGAAGAACCTTGGCCTTGGTCTCCAGTGAAATGTTTTTACATTTGATATTCTTTTCTGCTGCCTTTTCAAGTCTGAGCCTCCTTTAAATTTCTTGGCTGCTGTCTCATTTTGATTAATGATTGAGTCAAAATTTCCAAAATTAGTATATATTAGCTAGTATATAGCTAATATATTGTAAGCTGTCTGGGAAGGCCTTGGCAATTATAGGCAGCCTATAAATACATGTATAAATAAACTAAACTATATCATGCCATGATAAGGACTCAATTACTTGAGCCTTGTTTTTGTAAGAGTCCAAGAAATTGGTTAATAGGCAAGACAGAATGAACAGTCAAAATGATTTTTTTTCTTGTTTTTACTTCTGTCACACTTGCACTCAGGAAATTGGCACTATGAAAGAGAAGCTGGGATGGGGGCGGCCAGGATCGCCCTGCCCGTAGTTACCTGGGAGGCCCATCGAGGGCAATGCAAAGAGAATCCCGCGAAAGCTGGCGAGCTCCTCTTTACATACAGCCCGGCCCGGGTTCTTTGCACCGTTTCCCAGCCCCATAGAAAGCTCAAGCGATTGCTGCCTATATAAGAAGTCCGGCGGGGCGGGGGGGCTTTTAACGAAGCTACCTTTCAGCCGGATCGTGTTCCCCACGCCAGCCAAAGCAGTATTACGGGCTACTTCAGTCAATGAAGCGCAAGGGCTCCGAGCGGGCGATTGAACGAGGATGACTTTTCCTGGGATGGGAGAACTACCTCGCAGGTTGCAAATGTAAACCAGCCACCTCAGCCCCAAATCAGGGATCCAGTATTAACACCGTATTGTAGGGTGCCTTTGCAGGGCAATTTAAAAATGTTTTAAAACCGCTAAACAAACTAAGGCCGTACGTTTTAAACACGGAATAAGTCTTGAGTTCGAAGATTTATTTGTGGCTACGTGATGTGACGCGGAAGCACCTTCACGTTTCAAACTCTCGAGTTCCCCGATGTTTTCTATGGGCGCTTCTCCATTTTGACCACAGGGCCCAGAAAACGGACTTGAAGAACTCTGAGGCAAACAACGCACCGCGCATAGGTCCACTCTATTTTTTCCTATCTCTATGGAGCAAAGCTGAGGATAAACTCCGTTTAGAACCTCGGGGGTAATAGGCCTTCGGTCACTTCTCGTTGTTTCCGTCGCGGGGCTACTGACGCAACAGCCGTATTTTGCTCTGCGTGAGCCGGCGCGCTTAGTGGCGTCACTGGGCTTCGAGAGGCGTACCATTCCGATCGGTTTAGCTGGAGTGGCGTCGCTCTCCTTTCCCTCTTCTTCGTCTCTCGAGAGACCAAAGAAAGAGCGGGAGCGGGCGGCGACGGGCGCGTTTCTGTCGCCACTATGATGAGGCGCAACAAAGCGGAAGTCGACCGCTACGTCTCCTCGCTGCAGGCCTCGGCCCCGTCGCCTAGAGAGGTGGGTGGCGTGCTTCGGAGGCGGCGTGTGTCTCTCTCCCTCGCTGTGACGCCCATGCAGCTCGGTCGAGGGGTTCCGGGGCTGCCGGGGACTGGGCTCCGCAGCGGCCTGGTCGAGGCTTCCCTCGCCTGAGCTTGGGCGCGCCCTCCTGCCCGGCCATTCACCCTGGCTGGGGGTGGGCGGCGCGGGGGAGCCCTTGCGGGCTCGGAAGCCGCCTCGGCTGGCCGCCGCCGCCGCTGCTCGCACGCGTGCGCGCTGATGTCACGCCTCTCCGAAGGCGGCGGCAGGCCGGCCGGGTGGGCGAGCGCGCGAAGCGGTGTGGCGTTGCCCCTTTTGTTTCGATGCCCCGCTGTTGTGATTGCGGGAGCATCCTGCTTGCCGGGGATGTAAGGAGAGCCCTGTGTCTCTAAGTTTGCACTGCGAACAATGAAGCTGCAAATACGCAGGATTTGCAAATATTTTTTCCTAAGAATATCAGGGGGACACTGTGCTACGTTATTTTCCGTACCACCGTGAAGAGGGAAAGCAGTATCCCGTGTACTTTCTTTGCTTAAAAAGGCAGAGGAGCTCTTACCAGTCCTGGACTTAATTCGTTTATTTTCTGTGTGTTCATGGGCAAATTTGAAAAACTGTCTTGGGCACCACCACAAAATTGGTGATATGGGAAATTATGAAGGCTAATGACAAATGGCAAGCACCCTGCTTAATGGGTTAAGTACAAGGTAAATGGGATTCTGAACCCTAACAAACTAAACAGTACCTTTGAAACCAAAGTTTTCTGCAGCAATAGAAATCTTTTTTATGGAAGGGAAGCTATTCTCTCCATTCCCTATTTTCTCTTTCATTTTGGAGCACTGTCCAGAGACAGGTGCACTTTCTTTCTCACTGATATGTACAGTGTACCAAGCCCACCCTTTCTCACACACATACTGGCCAATTTGGGAAAAAGACCTGGTGACTTCTTTTCCCCATCTTGCATATGGCTGTTATGTGCTACAAGATTTGTCCAATTACCCTTGCATCATGAAGGTTTCTGTGTTGTCAAAACTGGGTGAGTTGTTCAGCTAGAGAGGTTTTGAAACAACCCCTGAACCCACGACTGCTTGGGTGGTTTGGAAGGCAGTGTGAACCTCACCAGGTTTGACTGACACAGCGACCAGAGCATCATGAGGTAATTATGTGGTATTTTTCTCTTGCACACAATGTTCAGTTTTCACGTGTTCAGATATGCAAGTACTGTTTAAGGATAGGCTAGACATGCACATGGTAGGCATGTCATGAATGGAGCCATCTAGAGCCAGGGGCCAGACTAGACTTGCTCTGTTCTATGTTTCTATAACCCTCCCAACCCCCCAAATTTCTTCCAGGAAGCTTTCTCAGCCTCTGCTGTTTTCCTGCTGCTCTCCTTGACCTTTGCTTTATTGACTTCTTGTCCCCCACCCCCAGTTGGCTTAACTTCCCTCTGCTCTCTCTTCAGCCGCAGCTTACCTGATTGGAATCCCATTTCCTGTTTTCCTCACTAGTTGGGTGTGCTGTACAGGAAAACATTGGCCTGCAGATACCCATCATCTTAATTTCTTAAGAGATATTCATGGGAAATGAAGATGGCAGTGGCTGGAGGTCTTCACTTTGCTATGAAGCAAACTCAGCTGGCTATATGAAAAGAGCTTCATTTTTTTAAAGGGAGTATAAGGTACCTCAGTGGGAGCCAAGAAAAGTGCCCTTGCATGCACTGATTCCCATGGATACCATGTTGTTTACTCCTACCAGTTTAGATCATAGAGACGGCAGTGGAATGCTTCCATTCAAACTTAGTTATTATTTTGGAAACCATGTAAAGAAAGGCAAAATGGAAAGTTTGTACATGTTTAAAGCATGCATATTTTGCCTGTTCCTGATGAAATGTATAAAAATCACCTGTATTAATAATTTGTTTCTCAGTGTGTGTGAGGTCAGAGAATGGTGCCTAAAAATAGGTTATTTTTAAATTAATTTATATAAAGCACAGAAGTAGATGAATAAGTTTCCTCAGAAACTAATTGATAACAAAATAAGCAGATCAACCCAGCAATTTATATAACCTACATAGCCTAGCTTTGTATGCTAATTCTTCATGCTCATTTTCATTTCTTCCTATTCCAGTAAATAATTTCCTTTAGTATCTGCCCATTTTTATTCTGTCAGTCAGATTTACAGCAGACAGCTATTAGATGTAGAAATTGTAGGAAGTCAGGTTTCACCTCAACAACAGGAACAAATCCTATCAGTAAAAGCAGTTGACCTTGGAACAGAGTACTACTTCACTGGAGATATTTAAAATGGGCTGGCCATCTGGTAAGGATGCTGTAGCTACATCTGCATTAAACAGGGGATAGCACTAAGTGACCTCCAAGTTCCCTCAATTTCTTATGAAATATATTGCAAAAAGTTTTCCAGTTCAGTGTTGTTATTAATAGTTTCAAATATCCTCATTTATCCTTATAGTCCCTCTACTCAGTAGAGTCTACTGTAGAGTCTACTGTAACAATATAACTCGTTGTACAAGTTATACAGTGTGTCACTTGTACCTTCTCTGCGTACTTTGTTTCAGAGTATATTAAACCATGCGCTTGGTCCATGCTGCGTCAGCACTGGCCTTCATCTTCCAATCTGTTACAACTAATTTTGTTGGAAAATGGTGTATAAATTTCTGAAATAGTAAAAGCCTACACTATTCAACATAGAGTTGCTTGGCTTCTTAACACCATTGATCTTGAGTTTGCATGCATAGATGTTTATGCTTTTATTACAGTAGCCAATTGTTACTGTCTCTTCTTAAAAATCTCTTTTTCTAAACCATTTAATAAAATGTTGCTATTATTGATTTTATTTCTATACAGTCTGATAACCAAAGTTATCTGGGTGGTTTACAGCAACTCAAGGCATTTACATGGTGAATGTAAACACTTGCAAAACTGCAGGAATTTTTTTAAACTACATAAGTGTTTAGAAGGGTCTATACCAACTGCTCTCTTCATCAGTACCACATAAGTTTGCATTGCTCATACTTGATACAGAGATAGGCTAATAGAATGCTTAGCATTCCGAGATCTAAACCATGATAAAATGTTGTTAGCATTAAAAAAATGCCTCTTTCTCTCCAGAAATCTATGAAAGGATTCTTTTTTGCTAAGCTGTATTATGAAGCAAAGGAGTATGAACTTGCTAAAAGGTAATTATTTTTCTGAATAGATTTACTAATAAAAATATTCTTCTGGCAACTGATTATACTAGGATTCTGAACCAGTAAGTTCAGATTGTAGGTAATTTCTATGGGTAGATAAAGTATTTTTCAGTTAGCTTGCATTGTGGTGATCAGTATGCATATGGTTCTGATATCCATTTACAATCCAATGTTTATATTGATCATCATAATTATAATCTTGACTATTACTATTAAACCTTTCTAACCATTGTACATATGTTGAATATTAAGAGAGGAGTTAATGCTTGATATTGCTGAATAACCAGGATTATGAATTTAAACAAAATACATAAAACTTGGGCTCCTAGTTAGCAATTTTAAAACTACATAGAATGCATTGATTAATGTTCATACTTAATTAGTCATGAACTTGTGTCATGTTTACTTGCTATGCTCTTTTTGTGAAGGTACATATCCACATATCTTGGTGTCCAAGAAAGAGATCCCAAGGCACACAAATTCTTGGGTCAGCTCTATGAAGCAGAAGATAATATAGAGAAGGCTGTAGGTTGTTACAAGGTAAGAAGTGTATGACCTTTTAAAAGAAAGAATATATACTTACTTGCTAGAAATTGTTGTATCTGAGATTGTAAAGGTCGGACAAACTTACCCCCAACCCTGCTGCTGTGAGTTCCCCCCTCAGCAACCACTGGGGTCCAAACAGCCCACGTTCATTTCCTAAGAAGCCAAACCACACAGGATTAGCATACAGTGACCCAGGGCTTGGAGAAAATTGAGGTTTATTCCGCAACATCTAACAGTACATCCACACCACAACACACACAGTGACAATTTACACGACAGTAGGGTAAAGGGTATGGGAAAGGGGATAGTGGATAGCAGCAACCAGTTAAGCATTATAGTAGCAGATAGTCAAATCTCTCAAATCATTTGGCCACCCCAGGCATTAAACAAGAACAGATAGCTGACCTAAAATCCTAACACTTCCCTAGTATTTATCAGTCTTCTCATGAGTAGCGGGCTCCCATTCCTGGGGGCTTGGCATCCACTGGCAGACCTCTCTTCTCCCATCCTCAGAAAGGCACCATCAGCTTCTTTGTTCCCATTAATGACATCAAAGCAAATCTCTTTCCCCTGATCTAGGTGCTAACTTCGGCACCTCCCTGGAGGAGGTTGTGTCTAACCTTGACAAACTCCAGGCCTGCAGCAACTCCCTTTCTCCGTGCACAGCCTTGGAGGCCACCTGTGCCAGCCCGATATTTCTCAACCTTTAACCTTGGCCTCTCTTTCCTCCGCCCAAGGTCTCCTCCGTTACAGAGATATTCTTACTTAAATATATTTCCATATTTTGCATACATATTAGTGTGCTATATTTAAAAAACAATAAAAAGCTAGACCAGATCGCTCTTTTGACTTAATCATAGTTGCAAAAAGTCAGCCTTAAATATTAACATAATACTATTTAAGCCTCTTTAACTTGGGCTGATAACATGGAACCATAGAATCATAGAATGGTAGAGTTTACACTGCAAATTGCTGAGACTCAAGATTTAACAGCAGTAACATGGGTGATGGCAGCATCACTATGGCATTTATCTAGATTATTAAACAAACTATACTGTTAGAATTGTAGAATGTTAGAGTTGGAAGGGGCCAGAGAGACATTAGGCCCAACTCCCTGCAGGGCTCCAAGTTACACCATCCCTCTCAGATGGCTGTCCAGTTTCATCTGGAATGCTTCTAGTGTGGGAGAGCTCACAACTTCCCAGGGAAATTGGTTCCATTGCTGTGTTGCTCTAACAATCAGGATTTTTTTCCCCCAATATCTTTCTGTAACTTGAGCCCCTTAGTCTGTGGCGTGCACCCTGGGATGATCGAGAAAATATTCTGTCCCTCTTAGCAACAGCTGTTTAAGTACTTGAAAAGTGCTATCATATCTCCCCTCGGTCTTCTTTCGGCTAACTGTGTCCAATTCTTTGAAGCTGACCTCATGGGGTTTTGTTTTCAGACCTTGGATCATCCTTGCTGCCCTCCTCTGAACCCTTTCCTGCTAGTCTACATTTTTCTTAAACTGTGGTGCCCAATATTGGGCACAGGACTCCAGATGAGGCCTCAACAGTGCTAAGTAAAGGGGAAATTGTACTTTGCAGGATACATTCTAGTGATCTGAGTTGCAAAATTCAGTATTGCAGAAGAAACAGAATAACTATATTTCCTCTTTTTTATTGGTGCTTTAGCGTTCAGTGGAGTTGAACCCAACACAGAAAGACCTTGTATTGAAGATTGCAGAACTACTATGCAATAATGATGTTGCTGATGGAAGAGCAAAATACTGGGTTGATAGAGCAGCTAAGCTCTTTCCTGGGAGCCCTTCAGTTTTCCGTCTGAAGGTAAACTTTTAGACATTCCTATAGCATGACAGTGTAGAAAGTAAACCTTGGTGGATAGATGAAAAATTGAATGGAATTGATCTATTATTGCCATACTTTCACTTTTTATAGTAATAGAAGTAATTTTGTTTGTATTCTGTAGTCTGATACTCCTCTCTTAATTACCAAAAATGAAAAGTCAGTGAAATGTAGCAATTCTTTTCATTTTTTCAAAATGTTGAATTAGAAAAACAAAGGGACTACAGTTTATTCCCTGGTTGTTTTTAGTGTAATAATGCACTTTATACTTAATTTCTTGAAACTCAACATTAAGAATACTAAGATCATGGCATCCAGTCCTCTCACTTCCTGGCAAATAGACGGGGAAGAAATGGAGGTAGTGACAGATTTTATTTTCCTGGGCTCCAAAATCACCGCAGATGGGGACTGCAGCCAAGAAATTAAAAGACGCTTGCTCCTGGGGAGGAAAGCTATGGCAAATCTAGACAGCATAGTAAAAAGCAGAGACATCACCCTGCCAACAAAAGTGTGTATAGTCAAGGCTATGGTTTTCCCAGTTGCAATGTATGGCTGTGAAAGCTGGACCATAAGGAAGGCTGAGCACCAAAGAATTGAGGCCTTTGAATTGTGGTGCTGCAGGAGACTCCTGCGAGTCCCTTGGACTGCAAGGCGATCAAACTGGTCAGGCCTAGAGGAGATCAACCCTGACTGCTCTTTAGAAGGCCAGATTCTGAAGGTGAAACTCAAATACCTTGGCCAACTAATGAGAAGGAAGGACTCCCTGGAGAAGAGCCTAATGCTGGGAACAGTAGATGGCAAAAGAAGAAGGGGACGGCAGAGGATGAGGTGGCTAGATGGAGTCACTGAGCTTAGGTGGACTCCGGGAGATGGTGGAGGCCAGGAAGGCCTGGAGGAGTGTCGTCCATGGGGTCGCGATGGGTCGGACATGACTTCACGACTAACAACAACAACTTAATTTCTCTTTCAAAGGACTTTCTTATATGCTGCCATTTTTCTGAGATAATGGAAACTTTAAATGCTTACATTGAAACATTATGCAACAACACAACTTGATTCGTCATTTATGTTTACTGTAGGAATGTCTGTTGGATTGCAAAAGTGAAGATGGGTGGAATCAGCTATTTGACTTGATCCAGTCAGAATTATATGCCAGGCCAGATGATGTATATGTTAACATCAGATTAGTAAAACTATACATCTCAAACAAAAGACTTGGAGATGCTGTGAAGCATTGTCAGGAAGCAGAGAAGAAAATTTCCCTGCAGTCAAGCTTGGAGTGGTGCTCATGTGTTGTGCAGACACTTAAGGTTTGTTCAATTGTATGATGGTGTGTTGTAAAATACTTCTGCTTCTGCTTTTCCATAGAAAGTATTATTGTGTGCCTCCTTAGTACTAAATTGTAGCTAAGCTTCTTTGGTGTAACAGAGGGCATTTTCTGTGTCAATAACTTTTTGGGCAATGGTTTGAGCATGCAGTTAAGAAAGGGTCGGGTCCATACAGGCCCAGAGTTGTAGCCACATGTTATTGGGTTGGATCCTCATGTGCTATTCCACATGCAGAGGGCCAGTTCAGCTTGCAGAAGAGCCATTTTACATTACATGCCAGAGAATGGTGAACGAAATATTGTCACTTAGTTAAAATACGTTCCATCTACAGCTTCATGCATAAGTCAAAGCATGAGAACTATTCTAGAACAAACATTTATGTAAGTATATTTAAAGCAGGTTTAGTGGCTATTTTCCTTCTAATCATGGTTCCTTGGACCCAGCAGAATCTGCTTTTTAGCCTGCCAGATGCAGAACAAGTGCCCCACTTACTTAGAGCATGGATAACTAACCAAGGTGTTCAGGGTACCCCCAGTGTCTAAAATGGTCTTGTATTCTTTGTCCTGCCAATCCATATACTTTCTTTGGTGGTGTGGGAGTAACTGCAAGTCCCTTCAAAGTGTGTTGAACTGCCAATCTTCAGAGTGCCTTTAAAAAGACAACTTGGAACATCGTTATCAAACTGCTTTCAAAACAATTACTTTAATATTTATGTGAAACAAGATTTAGGTCTGCTGCTGAATTTCAGTAAAGAATAACTTGATGAATTAGGTCTGACCTTGGATGATAATGCTGCAGATCTGATGATTGAACCTTACTGCAAGTTGCCCAAACCATAAGTTTTAAATGATTTCTTCTAGGAATATCTGGAATCTGCACAGGACTCTGAATCTGATAAAATTAGCTGGAGAAAGACCCATCGGGATCTCTTGTTGGCCTACTGCAATCTAGTTGTAATGACACTTTCAAACGAAGGTGTAGAAGAAAGCAGAAAAACCCTTGAAAGGTATCTTCACTTAGCATAATTAAGGTTATTTGTACATCACATTAAGCCACCCTGCAAAGCAAGCTATGCTGTCTAGATTCAATCCATGAACAATCCATGGTATGCCTGACAGGCCTTATCATGGTTTGTTCTCCCTCAGTACTTCAGCTGGTATCCCAGTGTCCTTCACAGCAAATTCCATCTTGATTGCCCCCTAACTCTCTGATCACTCCTAGGATTTAAAAAAAAAAAAATCAGAACCCCCAAAATGGACAATTAAGTATACTTCTAAGCAAATAAGTTTGCGATAGGCCTGGGTTATTTTTTAGAACTGTAAGGGAATTACAGTAACTGTAACAGTAAATGTTTGGAAAAGGAGCTGTAGGGAGCCAATATGCCCCCTTTCTGGCCCAGCTGGAGACTTTAGGAAGTGCTGAAATATTGGAGGAAACTGAAAAGTGTCCAATCAACACTTAAGATCGAGATGATTGCATTGCTAAGTGGCAGAAGTCCCCCCCCCCCACCATGCACCTTCTTTGGACACTTTTTTACCCTTTAGCTGATCTTTTCAATTGACAGTTCAAATGATTTTGCTACGTCAATTTCCATGTGTGCTCCCTACTCCCTACAGCTGAAACATAAATGGAAACTACAAGACAAGATTTCAGTGGGGTAGCATGAGCACATAAGCACTTCCTCTGCATTTTGTAAAAGGGCACCAAAATAATTTTAAAATCATGTGGGGACAGTATGAACAGATTTGTGCAGTATTCTGAGACTAAATTAGAGGAAAAGGCTTAACCTAGTAACAGTCACTTGAGACTATCACTGAGGGGTCAGTATAGGGCCTGTCATAGGCAGGGTAGGACTGCAAAAAGTGGGATTTGTTGAGTTGGTCACTAGGTGCTCCCCACAAACTCTGATGAAATTGCTGTTCTGGGTTTGGATGACATGGCAACCCATTGTTGATTAAGCAGCCCACAAAACAAGACATGGGCTTGTTGATTAGAAAATAAAGAAAGTTCATCCTATGAAAAGCAGTCTGGATTTAGACAACATAAGATCCCACGGTGTGTTATTACCCATGAAGGGTTGTTGGCTTGTGCAAACTCAGGCTTCAGAGGGCCGCCTTAGGGCATCCTGTCAATGCAGTAAGCTACTAAGAAGACATCTTCAGTGTTGGCTTCCTCCTTGTAGAATGTCCTCCCCAGAGAGGCTTGCCTGGTGCCTCCACTGTGATGCCCTCAGTGCCTTGTAAAGACCCTTTTGTTTTCCTAGGCATTTTAGTTTTTAGTTTTTATTGTTTTAAATCTGTTACTCTATTTTTACATGCCCATATAGCTTCTGGCTTTTAAATTGGTGTTTTAAACTTTTAAAACTTATATTGGGCTCATTTGGATGATTTCTGCAGGCCAGACAATTGGTTGTGATGCCTGTGGGCACTTGTTTTTAATATTCAGTGTCTGGCAGAGAGTCACCATGTCTAGTTATGTTTGAACCTGGGCTACTGGGGTTTGAGAGTTAAGCTTCAATCATGCATTGTTAATCCTCAAATAACCCCTGCCACCCACCCAGACTGAGACAAAATGACAAACTACAACTAGATCTCGAACAGGCAACCTGACACCAATAGTCATCACATTTCTTTTAGGAAGTCAACCCAGGTTCACATTAACCTCCTCTCCAAATCTGAGTGTTCTTCTGCAAAAGGGTGCTTCAGGCACACACACAAGCCCTCTTTAAAAGGTAATACTTACATATAGTTAGCAGTGGTGTACACAGCTGCAATTTGGCACAGTTGTAATTTGACTGTAATCATGCAGACACTTGTCCATGCCAAATTGCAACTGTGTAGCCCACTGCTAGCTAGTTTTTCAGAAGGTCTGAGATGTGGCAAACAACCCTTTGTAGTAGAATTTTCAGACATTATTTTGTGGGGGTGCATGTGGCCCTGGGCTACCCTCACTTTCCCAAATGTGGATAACAGGGGCATCTGTTTTTAGGAGTCAAGCCATAGTCAGCATTAAATAGCTTGCTGTGCATTGGGGACATTCTGGCACACACAAGTGCTGCTATGTCTGATCATCTGCCTGCCATCGAGGAATTCTGCTTGTTTAAAACTCCCAAGGGGTTTAATGTGTTGTATGAACCCAGCCTTTACATATGAAGTATAGCAGAACAGCAACAAAAGGCAAGAGAGTTAAATTATTTGCATTTGATATTATTTAACATTTTCTGGCTTTTGTAACACTAAGTGTCCAGCCTTGAAACTACTGCTGTTACTTATGAGCATCTTCTCTTGTAGCTTTGATCATGCACTTCATTCAGTGAAACCATATGCAGCTGGAGGTGATGAACTTTCTGTAACTTTCCTGGAAATGAGAGGCCACTTCTATATGCATGCTGGAACTCTGCTGTTGAAAATGGCTCAGCAGAGTGAGATGCAGTGGAGAGCTGTTTCTGAATTGGCTGCTTTGTGCTACCTTCTAGCTTTTCAGGTAAGCTAATTTCAAGGGGGGTGCTGGTGACATTCATATGCACCGAAGATCTGTGCTTAAAAATACTAATGAGAGTTCCAGTACTGCATTACTGTGAAACTTAGGCCATTCTTACTCACCGCAAATATTTGCATATCTGTGCTTATTAACAGAATCTTGTACTCACAACAGCCCTCTATAACCTGGTGCCTTCCCAGCATTCCTGTCTGTTGGCCATGCTGGCTGGGGCTGTTGGGAATTGAAGTAAAAAACCTCTAGAAAGTACCGGATTGGGGAAGACTGGTCTACAGGTATAAAGAAAGAAACAAGAAACACCTGTAAAATCAGGAGGATTCAGGTGCTGTCTGTAGATAATTTATTTTAGCCTGGTTGTGTAACTTGGACACCTTGAGCTTGCTGGCACATGATGACATGTGACATGCAGACATAGTACTCCACTGTCTGTCTTGCTGGGGAAATCAAATGGCATGTTATGGCTACTGCCTCTGTTGTGCCAGTGTGTGTCACATTCTGCAACAGTTCCTGTTGTGTCACATCTGCCCAAGCTTTAGCTGCTCTGTGTGCCACTGCAGCAACAGTACCTGTGTCCACCAGGGAGGTTTGTGTTAAGTCTTGCTAGGTTCCCATATCCTATGCTAGGCAAACCGCAATCTAGGGAGAAGGTCTCTAGGCCCTCCAGATTGAACTGTGTATCAAAGAATTGCCAGTGGACTGTTTTTTAACTGTCCTATCTCCATTGACTACATGAGTCAATGTAATGTGCTGACTAAGTCAATGCAAGACTTTGAGTTCAAGGTACAGTTCCTTTTCTTATATTAAGGATGAGGCAGTAATTCTGTATTCATTAATTTTGCAGGGGGCTGTGTAACACAATACCAAATCCAACTTGATTTTTTTCAGTTTAGCAAACTGAACAGAAATCTAGTGTAGTATTAATTTGCAAGAAGGTTACATTCATGACTCTGGTATCCAAGATTTCTACACTTCATGAGAAAAATATGTATTTTATTCTGCAAACATAGTATCGCCACCATATCTTTCACTGTGGAGGAATTCTTTATACTTGTCTAATCCCTACCAGGTCCCTAGACCAAAGTCAAAACTAATAAAAGGAGATCAAGCTGAACAAGAGAAGTTGGAAATGTTAGCCTGCGACCGACAGAGCCAATCTGGTAATGATGATGATAAAAGCAATTCATATTTAAAATCACAGCTGTTGGAATTTTGTAGCTATGCTAAAGCAATGTACAGTTTCACTCGGTTGAAAATTATAAGTAATGAAAACCATGAAAGTTAATGCTAAGAATTCAAGAGATAATATGTGCTTATACTACCAATCAAGCATCCATTCAGTGCTACAGATCCTAGGATAGCTTCTTTTGTTACCCCCAACTACAGCAAATAACAGTCAAATGGTCATAATGTATCTACAGTTTTTTCCTTTTATGAACAGAATGTGTTAGATTTAAAAATTCATGTCTCTGAAGCCCAAATTATGGACTGCTTTACATCCCAGATAGGAACTGCTATTACTATAGTCAATCATGTCTCTTTCCTTTTCAGGGCATATGCTGCTAAACCTAAGCTACAACAAACAGGACTTTTTCAAGGAGATTGTTGAATCCTTTGCAAACAAGAGTGGGCAGTCTGCCTTATTTGATGCACTATTTGGGAGTAGTTCTAAAGAAAGTTCATTCCTTGGCACTGATGATATCAGAAATGTTAGTGTACAGGCACCAGAATGCATTGAATTAACTAGATATGATATCGGTAAGAAGTTTAAAGTACTGAATTTTTATGTGTGTTCTGTTGCAAAACTGAATTACATGAATTGGTTAGCTTAAACCTTCAATTAAAATACATGAAACAAACCAATATTAACACTGTAGCAAATGCAAGATTTTTACACAAACTTGTTTTTTTCAAGTACTTGCTTCAACATTTTGGGACCTCTGGGAAAATTCAGGAAGTTGAGAACAGCTGTGAGCACAACCACATAATCTGGCTAGTTGCAGAATGGCTGCTGTGGAGGCATGGCTAGTGAAAAGAGGTGGGGCAGGAAACAGGAATTAGCAAGGTAAAGGGGGAGAGAGAGAGCAAGGATAGAGGCTAAGAAGTGGGAAGAAACAGTGAGGAGGGAGAAATAACGATGCTAGAGACTGTGAGTAGAAAACAAGGCTAGAAATGGAACAGAGAAATAGACACTTGGTTTGTGTGACTGAAAGAACCCATGGTTTGATTTTGGGCTATTTGTAATTTGTTAGCTGGCTGGGTTCAGATGATATGACAAGCTGTGCCTATCCAGGAAATGAGGCCAATGATTCCCAGTACATACAGACAGTTTAACTGGTGTGTGTTCATGCATAGTGGACCTGAGAGAACAAAAGGGAAAACCAGCATAAATGGAAGACGATTGGATGGGGCCAGACAGCTATGCTTTTCTCCCTGCCCTCTGAATAGCTGATTAGCAGCACACAAGAATGCAAACCTGGTGCGCTAACATTTTCCAAGTTTTTTGTTAATTAACAGTACATTTGTGAAGGGCACGGGGAATGGAGTGCTTCATGGGTACTTGGAAGTTTTGCAGGTGCTCTTTTGGGAACTCCTGTCTGAGATTATACCATATGATGCTAAATCTCTAGCTGCATTTAGGTGGGATAGCAGGTCAGCCTCTTAATTTGCCACTATCTTTCAAATACAGTATCAACAAGAGTGAGTACTTGAGTGAGTGCACAGGTCTGAGAAAAGAATCCTAACCATGGCCAGTGCTTCTAAATTTTTCTCTGATTAGGCTGCCTGAGTAAATTTCTATATTAAGTTATATCTTAGGCCAGATGCATATCCTTAACAGGAAGCTAAAATGGATGAGATCTCCTGATTTGTTTGAATGGGAAGAAATAAAATTTTGTAACAAAAATCCTAGCTTCATCACTGTCTTCTGGTGGCATATAACATTTTTTCTTTGAAAGGCAATCAAAAATTTCTTTTCTTTAGGTGCCATTAGAGCACACAGGGGTAGTCTCCAGCACCTCACATGGCTTGGTTTGCAGTGGAGCTCCATACCAACTTTCCAAGCAATTCGCAAATGGTTAAAACAGCTTTTTCATCTGCCTCAGGAAACATCAAGACTTGAAACCAATGCCCCTGAATCAATTTGCATGTTGGACCTTGAAGTAAGAAAATAGTTCTAGCACTGAATTTACTATGATAGAGTGATTTTATACAGTACAACTTGAATGTGTGTGTTTGAAAAACAGGTATTCCTGCTTGGGGTGATATTTTCCAGTCGTTTACAATTACAAGAAAAGTTTAATACTCAGTACACTGCACATCAACCTCGATTCTTGCCACTGCCAATATACAAGCAACTTTGTACTGAAAGGCAAAGGGCCTGGTGGGATGCCGTTTATGCTCTGATTCACAAACGAGCTGTGTAAGTACCAGTATTATTTTTTTTAATCCACCTGTGATAGATGTGTAGTTGTAGATGTCATGCTAGTTACTCGGCATATTTAAACCTATTCCTTGGATTTTTCTCACATAGCGGGATGTGACAAGGGGAGTTCTCCATCTTTAATATAAGACTGATATTGGATGTGAGATATTCTTTTATATCATTATGCTAGATCAGAATTTTCTGGCAAATCTTTTTGCAATTGTTGGAAAGATCTTTGTGTTTCATTTTTAAAAGTAGATTGTCTTGTTAACATTTCAGATTAAAGCTAACCAAAAAGTAGATAATTTAAACAACAACATACAGCTGAACTGTTCCTATATAAATGTGCTTTTCAGATCTGGGACAGCTGCAAAAATGAGACTTCTTATTCAACATGAAATCAGCATCCTTAGGGCTTTAGGAAAACATGGTCTTCAACCAGGTCTGATTGTGCACTGGGCAAAAAGTCTCCTTAAAACAGTAAGTGACCTGGTGCCATTTTCTATAAATCCAAAGCTGTAAAGTTAATTCCATAGAAGTGCAATTCTACACATATTTAGCAAGAAAATATCTTGTAACTCTCTGGCAGGGTAATGCTGGAAGTTGTAGGATCTTTTCTGTCTAAACATGCAGAGTTGTACCTTAAATCATTAAATTATCCATATAGTTTAGCTTAAATCTCATGTAGAAAAACAAGATCAGAATATAATTGAAACTTCTTTTTGAAGGCTGCAAGAACTGGTCAGACCTTCCTAGGCTATGAGAAGACATTCATGAAACTTAATATCCTACAAATTGGCAAAAAATTACATGCTAGAATTGAAGTGCTGATTGTACTGTTCAGACTGTTTGACTCACTAGTTTTAGTCCAAAATTCAAAGTATTGCTTGATCATGAAGGTCTTTGGATGACATTTAGCCAGTCATTCATCAACTTTCAATCTGTCTAACCTTATAGGGCTGTTTTATGGAAGAAAAGAGGACCATATGTGCTGCCTTGAGTTCCTTGATTAAATGTAAATGAAATAATAGTATGCTGAACATTAAAAGATAAATGTCAGATTGCATCACCAGGTCTACATTTGAGACATAAAGATAATTCAAATTATATGATTTCACAGGGTTGTGGTCTTAATTCTTTCTACGACCAAAGGGAGTACATTGGACGAAGTGTGTATTATTGGAAGAAAGTTTTGCCAATGCTGGAAACAATCAAGAAGAAGAAAAGCATTCCTGAACCAATTGACCCTTTGTTCAAGCATTTTCATAGTGAAGATATTCAGGTAATAGAGGCTGCCAGAAAAATACAGGATTTTCCTGTGGTAGCCTTTATGTTTCAAAATGCTTGCTTTAATCTTCTGTCCAAATTCTTGTTTTGATGTAACTGTTTGTCCTTCTCCCCAAGGTAAGGATTATCCTCTATGTCTAAAATCTGGCTAGTTAAATGCCTTTTTAGGGAGCATTTCTACTCTATTTCCCTATCTGCATATGAGAACTTTGCATGCAGGAGACAGCCATGAAGTGTTCAGCTAACTAGGGTCTGGTAGGTGTAGTTAGCTGGATGGTCTTTTACTTGACAAATTTAGGCCCTCAAAGCTCAGAATTTGACGCTAAGTCATACTGGTCCCATAATGTCAATACATAAGCATCTTATAATTTAATCAGGCTGTGGACTACAGCAATTAAACATTGACTCTCCAGAAAGATGTAGCTGAGGACACAAGAGCCAAGTAAAGTCCACAAATACAATTATTGCCTGGATACATTATTCAGAGGAATCTTGACCTTTCCCAAATCCACAGGATTGCCTCTTTCAACAGAATTCAACTTCAGTTTGTTTAGCTCTTCATGAAGCATTGATTCAGGGTTTTTGTTTCCACTCCTGGATTAATTGAAAGTTATAAAGTTAATAGCATACTGATGGCACTGCACTTCATATTGACCTAGTTCACACAATCAAAGTTTTTGTGGCTTATTTAAATTGTGGTGCATGTAGGATACTATTTAAATAATCACTGCTTGGGGTCAGCTTATCATGTCATCTAAAACTAGGCTACATGGCTTGTTGGAAGGGGAAATAATTTTCCAATAACCCATGGGCTATTATAGGATCATTGTTGGTTGTTTATTGATTATTGAAATCATGCCCTGTACATGCCATAATGTAAATAAGATATAAACCATCATGGTTTATTTTGACCATATGAATCAGTGTATTGTCTCAATTATCTCTCCTGGTGGTTTTATATAGAAATAGGTGACCAGATGGAACTTGTTGAGAATGCTAAACTCAGTGGGGGTTGTAATAAATAACCTGTTGCTAATCTTGAAAGTGCAAAGACATACGTAGCATGCTGAAATAGCTCTTCCCTGTGGAATTCTTGATCAGCACAAACTGACATCCAGGAAAATAAAATTTACTGTGACACTTTAATTGGAAGGCTGGTGGCTTTGAGGGAGGTAGGCACAGGACACTGGTGGCAAGGCAACCCTGTACATATGTATGACTTCAGTTAATATACAAGGTGGTGAAGAATTAGAAGGAAAGACCATCTTTATGGAAAAGACAAGCAAAGATGATCTGCCCTATTTAGCAGAGCATAAATAAATTGGACATGTGTTAGATATTGAAGTGTCCTGTCCACTAGCCTATGTAGATAATAGGTTCCCATAGCTAGAAAAACGGGTTTGTTTGGAGTTGTGACAAGATTTTTGTACTGAAACTGGCTACATAAATCTAATGGAGTAAATCGCTTTCCTAGGCTTCCCAGGTTGATGAATATCGAGAAGAAGCACATATAGCATTTGCCATTTTAGATGCAGTTGATGGGAAAACAGAAGATGCCATGCAAGCATTTGAAGTTATTAAAAATGTTGTAGCATACTGGAATCTTGCTCTGGTAAGTGCTGAATTTCTCTTTGTTCCCCCTTCCCTGCAACTATACATCTCTTACTCTCTCTTTATATAATGCATTCACTGCTAAACCAGCTATTAGGTACCTGGACATGATAAGGTTACATTGCTGACCAGGATATCTAGCAGGCTGCCCTCTCCATATAGACACACGTGTGCATACACACCCCAAACTAGCCCTTAAATTTATCAGAGGAGGGCTTGGTGGTCATTCAAAAATGAACAGAATGTCACTGTGTGATGATAACATGCCTTCTCAGTAGTGGCACCATTCCTGTCAAGGAAACTCTCTTAGGTAGTTCAAGAGGCAAAAAAGGTAGCATCTTTCAAATACTTCCTGAAAACACTCATTCACCAAGATTTTCTCTGGTTTGAAACTAAACTAAACACACCACTCCATTGTACTGCTTCATATTATTCTGTATTTGGAATTGTTTTTAATTTGTATTTTAATGTGATTTTAGTATGTATATGCAAACCACAAGGTTTTTAAAAAATATTTAGCAGTATAGAAGTATTATAAATAACAGCTAAGTAAATAAATAAATAGCTTACTCCTTTTTCTCTCGAATAGATTTTCCAGAGGAAAGCTGAAGAGATGGAGAATGATGGTCTCTCACTAGAAGAACAAGAAGAATGCAGGAACTACCTAAAAAAGAGCAGAGACTATCTCATAAAGATAATTGATGAAAGCTGCACAGATGCTGCTGTAATTGAAAAGGTTGATGATTTGGCTTAGTCTTTTTTTTAAGTGCTGTAAAAGTCACCATACAGAAAGAAACATGTCGTGATGTGATAGGTACATTTGGAATGTAAAATATAGCATCAGAAGTGCAATCACAAAATAGCTATTATCATAGGTATGGCCAGTCACAGAACTGTTGTTACTAATTTAAAAAAAAAAAAACTTCCCTAAGAACCCGAGTACAAGGCAGAGGGAACAGTACGAATATTTCACAGAAATGGGTATCTTATTTCACAGAAAACTGAAAAGCCAGTTTTTCCTGAACCCCTTTCTGTCAGGATTCATTTGTATACCTTTTCTCTTTCTGTTAGTTATGCAGCCATACACACCATCCTTCACTTACTCAAAAGTACACATGCCCCTCCCTTCTGTACTGTTCTTCCACACTGCTCCCTTCCAGCCTATCTAACCCAACAGCCATTTCTCTAGACTTGGCTGCAACAGGAAAGGCCTTTTCCCTTTTTGGGTAATAAGTTCTGGCAAGTGATGCAGCTGGGCATGCACAGCAAACAGCCTGGCTTGAAGCTACCTCCTATCTTCACTCCCTAATAACCCCCTGTGCCAAGAACTATTATGGGTAAAGTTTTAGTGAAAGAAGGCAGTACAGTCTGAATTCAACAACCTTTAATTCAAGACAGAATACGCAGCTCATCAACTTAACTATGTGTATGTCAGATAACTCTAAAAAATCACTTGTTATAATTTTGTTCTAGTTACCTGTATCCATAGAGACTGTTAAGGAGATGCTGGAATGCGTAATGCAGGAACTTGGGGACAATGGTGAAGAAAGGAATCTTGCCTTAAACAATGATTTGAGCCAATCAGCAGAAACCGAAATTAAACATTCTACTCCATCTCCCACAAAATTTTCACTCTCTCCAAGTAAAAGCTACAAGGTATATCAAAAGAAATGTGTTTTGAAAGTTGTATTTCATTTGAATAAGCTTTAAAACACCTGATTGTTGTTGGGTTTTTTCCCCAGTTCTCTCCCAAAACTCCCCCTCGCTGGGCAGAAGATCAAAAATCACTACTTCAGATGCTATGTCAGCAGGTGGAATCTATTAAGGTAAAAGAAAGGGCACTGCAGTGTGTGTAAGCTCTCTTCTGGGGCAGAATTGTGGCTTAGTCTAAACAAGTCAAATACAGATTATGGTCAGATGATTATAATTAAATCCCAGGATAACCATAATCAGATTATCAATATTAAATTAGAGCAACAGCTTCTTTTAAAATTAATCAAGTGTTTTTATTTGTTTGCTGTAAAGTACTAGCAAAGTGTACCTGGAAGTATTGAATAAACATTTTATATCATTTTAATTTAGCATTCACATAGCTTTCACTTTTGTACTGGCATACCTTCGCTGAAAATAGTTATTGTACAGATAGCAATCCAAGTGCATATATTTGTATACTTATTTCCTGCTTCCCGGTGTTAGAATCAAACTCAGGCCAGCTTCCAAATAAAAAATGTAAATCACAATTTTAAAAAAATCCTAGCAAGACAAAATGAAAATAGTAAAAATAAGTACTAGATGATCAACACTAGACTGCAGAAGTTTTGCCAATCAGATTCTAGTTTGCTCTTCAGCAGTGTTACGGATTCTTGTTACAAGGCAACCTATTGTGACATACTAGTGGAAGGAAAGCATTGACCGGATTCTCATGACACAGAACTAACCACCCTGGCTTCTGCTAACTCATTTCCCTTATAACCCTCTCCAGGTGCAGCTTATTATTTATTCAAACCTGGGTGGCTGTGTTTGGTTAGCAAACCAACCAGATCCGGTGCTCTGCTGTAGGGTTTCTGAATGGTTTGTTAATCACTGAAGCTACTCACTTGCATCAGGTTTGCATGTAACAACAAACCTTTCCCAGTGGGCATAATTAGGAAACCAAATCCAATCTTTATCACTAAAATTACTGCTCCATCCCTCCCCAAGTGTGGATCCTAATATTGCTAAAATGGCATTAATCATGCACAAACAGAACCCCAAACTTTAGCGGGGAAATCTGGGAGAGAGAACCAGCTGGCTGAGTAGTCAAAGAACATGATTGGAAAAGAAAACCAGAGGGAGAGGGAATGAAATTGGCTGGATGGATGTGGCTGATGAAGAAGGCTCTGTGATCATGGCAGCCTTGGAGGCTTCAAAACACCCTGAGCAGTGGACAAGAGAGGCTAGCTGAGAGAGGAGAAAAGGGTAAAGAGGAAAATGAAAGGTGGCTGGTTCTATTTCTGTCTTTTCCTCCACTGTCCTATGTGCCTTTTCTCTTCCCCTCCAGGAAAAATGGGGGTGGAGGGAGATGGAGAATGGAGATGATGTGGTGTAGTTCATACTGAATACTGCAAGTCGGGTGCAGGATGGCTTCTTATAACCTTGCAGTGTTGCCCAGAGCATTTTGTTGCATTTGTAATTTTTTGTTTACCTAGTTTATTTTATTTATTTATTTAGAAAATTTCTATGCCGCCCCATTCACCCAAAGCCTCGGGGCGGCTTACAAATAAATCAATTAAAATACTATAAATTAACAATATAAAACAAGTTAACAATATAAAATAAGTCACCCTGGCCCACTAATAAAATAAATGCTATTAACAATTAAAATGACGTTTGAATAAAAAGGTCTTTGCCTGGCGCCGAAAATCAAACAACGACGGCGCCAGGCAGACCTCTCTGAGGAGCGCATTCCATAGATTGGGCGCTACCGCAGAGGAAGCCCTCCTCCGAGTACCTATCCTCCTAATTTCTTTCACAGAGGGTTCCTGGAGAAGGGCCTCTCCCGCTGATCTCAGGGGGCGGGCAGGCATATATGGACGTAAGCGCTCCTTCAGGTAGTTTGGCAGCAAGGATTGAAAGCCATCTCTATCCTTAAGACAAACCATATTTCTGTGTAGTGACTTTCTTTGCCCTTCAGTTCTGTTGAGGAGACATAGTGACATGAAGGTCTGTAATGCTCCTTTCTATCTTTTTAATAGAATGAGATGCAAGAAATGAAACTTAACAATTCTAATGCAAACACACCACACCGATGGCCTGCTGATAGCTATGCGACAGAGACTATGCCAGATGGCTATCAAGGGGCACAGAATTTCCATGGAGCACCCTTGACTGGTAAATATGTGGTGAAATTGAGTTCTAGAAGAGTTCATGATACACTATCAGTTGATTACAAGCAAGGAAAGTTAAATTAATAGCAAGTTGAAAGAACTTAAAGGATAATTTAAGATATTTTCAAAGTACTAGTTTCATAATAATAAAACCTGGTATAAAACTGGTCACAGGTGTTGAAGATGATGCCGTGTCATCATACAGTATCATCATACAGAAGCACAGAGAAATGTATTAAGTGTTTAGTTCTAGATGTTTTGCCATTTTATATACTCTTAAAATTATCTCCTGTGTTTAGTTGCTACCACAGGTCCCTCAGTATACTACAATCAATCACCAACCTATAATTCCCAGTATCTTCTAAGGACTGCAGCCACCAATGTGACCCCTACAAAGGTAATGAAAAATATTTCTTGATACAGTTGTGTATTAACACTTGAAAATATAGCAAGCTGCAAGCCTTGTTACTTTCACAAGTAATCCTCAAAACCCTCAAGGCAGGTTCATTCTTGGCAGCATGGTGAGTTTGGGCAGCAGCATAAACTTATGAATAGATTAAGCAATGATTAAAATATAACTGCAAGATTGCAAGTATAATTGCAAGTATTCAGCTATTGAGTCTTTAAGACTAACACTGAGTATTCTATTTTAGGCTCCTGTCTATGCCATGAATAGGCTTACACCGCAGCAGCATATATATACATACCAACAGCCAATGCATACTCCTCCACTACAGAACACCTCTGCTTGTATGTTTTCACAAGAAATGTATGGTGCTCCACTGCGGTTTGATTCTCCTGCAACTGGAATTCTGTCTCCTCGTGGCAATGAGGACTACTACACTTATAATGTGCCACCAACAAGTGCAAATCCACCACTTCCTGAGCCAGGCTATTTTACAAAACCTTCAGCTGCACCCCCAGTTTCCAGACCTGCAGAACCAAAAGTGATTGAATTTGGAAAGCCTAACTTTGGGCAGCCTATACCTACCGAGGGAGCAAAATCTTCACTGATAACCTCTGTTCAGTCAACTCAGCCAACCACTTTCAAATTTAATTCCAATTTCAAGTCTAATGATGGTGATTTTACTTTTTCATCACCTCAGGTTGTTGCACAACCACATAGTACGCCATATAGCAATAATGACAGTCTGTTGGGCCTCCTGACATCAGATAAACCTGTCAAAGAGGATCAATACACGGGACAGAAACCCCTTGCTGAATATGCCACTGGACAACGCAGCATCTTCAGTTTTGGTGCCAAGAATCCACCGAACATCTCATTTACAGATAAAATGGGACAGAATCAACCCAAGTCTTCTGGGTTTGGTAAGGGTGAAGCGTTCACTTTCCAGGAACCTGTCAAACCCATATTTGGTACACCACATTCAGATGTGGCAAACAGAAGTCATGAAACAGATGGAGGAAGTGTCCATGGTGGTGAGGAGGATGATGATGGTCCTCATTTTGAACCTGTTGTACCATTACCTGACAAGATTGAAGTAAAAACAGGAGAGGAAGATGAAGAAGAAATCTTCTGCAACCGAGCAAAACTCTTTCGTTTTGATGGTGAATGCAGAGAGTGGAAAGAGAGAGGTGTTGGTAATGTAAAAATTCTGAGGCACAAAATAACTGGCAAAATCCGGCTACTTATGAGACGAGAACAAGTGCTGAAAATATGTGCAAATCACTACATAAATCCTGAGATGACTTTGAAACCAAATGCTGGGTCAGACAAGTCGTTTGTGTGGCATGCCTTTGACTATGCAGATGAATCGCCAAAACCTGAGCAGCTTGCCATCAGATTTAAAACACCAGAGGAAGCTACTCTTTTTAAGCAAAAATTCCAAGAGGCACAAAGCAGCTTGAAATGCTCTGTATCAGATGTTAGCCAGCCAACTGCTCAGAAAACTGGACCGTCAAGAGAAACTGCTGCTCAGGATGCAAAGGATTCTAGTAAATCTGAGCCTGCACTCCTGAACTCTGGATTCCATTTCAAGAGTAGGTCACCCCCAGTCAGTGGTGGTTGTCAGGTACCTGGTCCTGATCCAAGCAATGCTATAAAAACCACTACTTCCAAAAGCAGTTTTACAATCACATCCAGTGGCACTACACCTTCATCCTTTTCTTTCGGTAAGGAAGTCTCAGGAACGCAGACTACACATGGATTTGGTGAGCAGTTCATGTTAAAGAAAGATCAGTGGGAGTGTAGCACGTGCCTTGTTAGAAATAAAATTACTGCACAGAATTGTGTAGCATGCCAGACTCCAAACCCATCTAATAAAGAGGCACAGGATGTACTTCCAATGCAGTCCACTGTACCTTTCATATCCCACATTGTAAGCCCACCAAGTACATTTGGACTCCCCTCTGCTAAAAAGGAGAACCAATGGGAATGCAGGGTCTGTTCTGTGAGAAATGAAGCCAATTTATCTCACTGTGTAAGCTGCAAGAACCCCAGTGGAATTAATCCACCAGTGCTTGGTCCACAAACTACATTCAAATTTGGCCAGATGGATACTTCAAAGGTCCCTCCAAGTGGTTCTGGATCTGCTTTTATGAAAAATGAAGGTCAGTGGGCTTGCAGTTTGTGTTCAACACGAAATGAAGGTTCTTCACCAACTAGTCAAACTCCAAATCCTTCTGGTGGAATTTCAACTCTGCTTTTTAATTCTACACTGCCTCAGATCTGCTTCAAATGTAAGCTATCGGAACCTAGTGGAGGACCACAGGGGACAGGTTTTAAATGTGGCATTTCAGAGAAAGCTTTTAAATTTGGCAGCTCTACAGAGCCAGGAAAGTCTCCCTTCACATTTCAGATTCCTGTTAGTACTGAAACGAAGCCTGTGCAAGGAGGGTTTAATTTTTCAATGCCTGTGCCACCAGGTGAATTTAAATTTGGTATACAAGAGCCCAGTAAAAATACTGTAAGTAATAAACAGAATAAAGGCAGTAGTCTCTTAAAAAGTCTTGAAGAGAAAAAGACACTTGAGGAAGACTCTTTGGCCAAATCTAATGATGCATCAACCAAACAGAGCACTGATTTGGTTTTTGGCCAACATGGTAGCACTTTCACTTTTGCTGATCTTGCAAAAACATCTGCTGGTGAAGGGTTTCAGTTTGGTAAGAAAGATCCAAATTTCAAAGGCTTTACAGGTGCAGGGGAAAAGCTCTTTTCTTCTCAGGCTGCCAAAACTTCTAAAGCAAACACTTCGACTGATTTTGAGAAGGATGATGATGCATATAAAACAGAAGACACTGATGACATTCATTTTGAGCCTGTTGTCCAAATGCCAGAAAAAGTGGAACTTGTGACTGGTGAAGAGGATGAGACAGTATTGTATTCCCAAAGAGTAAAACTGTTTCGGTTTGATGCAGAAACTAGCCAGTGGAAAGAACGTGGTGTGGGCAACTTGAAAATTCTTAAGAATGAAGTTAATGGAAAACTGCGAATGCTCATGCGGCGTGAGCAGGTACTGAAGGTTTGTGCAAACCACTGGATCACAACTACCATGAACTTGAAGCCACTGTCTGGCTCAGACAAAGCATGGATGTGGTTAGCCAGTGATTTTTCTGATGGGGATGCAAAGCTGGAACAGTTGGCTGCTAAATTCAAAACACCAGAGCAGGCTGAGGAATTCAAGCTGAAATTTGAAGAATGCCAAAGGCTACTGTTGGATATACCACTCCAAACCCCTCACAAACTTGTAGATACTGGAAAAACAGCCGAGCTCATACAAAAAGCAGAGGAAATGAAAACTGGGTTGAAAGATCTTAAAACTTTCCTGACAGATGATAAAACTAAACTCTCAGATGAAGAGAGTAAAAACTTCATACCTGCTCCAAGCACTTCTGATTTGGTTATAAAGCCACATGCTGAAAGCACTGGTCCCACATTAGAATGGGACAACTATGACTTACGTGGGGAAGCACTGGATGATAGCACAGATAGTTCTACATACGCATTGCCTCGAGCCAGTAGCCCCGTGAGAAAAAACCTATTTAGGTTTGGGGAATCTACCACAGGGTTTAACTTTAGTTTCAAATCTGCACTAAGTCCCTCAAAATCTCCTTCCAAACAGAACCAGAGCAGATCTTCTGTAGGCACAGATGAGGAGTCTGATGTTACCCAAGAAGATGAAAGAGATGGCCAGTACTTTGAACCAGTAGTGCCTTTACCTGACCTCATAGAAGTAACAAGTGGTGAAGAGAATGAGCAAGTTGTGTTCAGTCACCGAGCTAAACTATATAGATATGATAAAGATTCTAACCAGTGGAAAGAGAGGGGCATTGGGGATATAAAGATCTTGCAGAACTATGACACTGAACAAGTCCGTATAGTTATGAGAAGGGACCAGGTATTAAAGCTTTGTGCCAATCATAGAATAACCCCAGATATGACCATCCAGCCGATGAAAGGCACAGAGCGAGCTTGGGCATGGACTGCATGTGACTTTGCCGAAGGGGAAAAAAAAATGGAGCTCTTGGCTGTGCGATTTAAGTTGCAAGATGTTGCTGACTCTTTTAAGCAAATTTTTGAAGAAGCAAAGTATGCACAAGAAAAGGATGCATTAATCACTCCACTCTCTTCACGAGCAAATACACCAAAGGAATCCCCATGTGGAAAGGTTGCTGTTGCAGTACTGGAAGAAACCACCAGGGAGAGAACCGACTTAAAGCAGGATGAAGAAACTGTTGAACAGACCACAGAGGCTTCAGCAGTGGTGGGAACTTCTGAGACACCAACAAAAGCAGTAGTTTCACCACCCAAATTTGTGTTTGGCTCAGAATCTGTCAAAAGTATTTTTAACAATGAGAAATCAAAGCCTTTCACATTTGGAAACACATCAGCCGCTGGATCTCTTTTTGGCTTCAGTTTTAATGCTACTTCCAAAAGCAAAAGTGATAGCTCAGTGTGTCAAACCGTGAAACAAACAGAAGCAGAGAATGCACATGACACTGTGACTTCCAAAGCCGCTGAATATCAAGAAGGTGGTACTGCTGGTGGCAAAGGAGAAATTCAAGTAGCTACATCAAAAGCAGAAGGATTTTCTAATTTTTCTTTTAAAACGCTAGAAAAAGGTGAGCATTTCTTAAATTTTAACTTGAAAATTTTATGTGTTTCAACCTCATCTGTCTTTAAGTGTTTAGGATGATTACTGATGTACAATCTTGAAATGTTTAATATTGGACCAGTGTACACTGTAAGAGGAGAGGAAACGAGAGTGGGGGCTTAAAACTTATGTGCCTGGCTTATAAACATTCTTGGAAAGAAGAAGCTTAAAATAAAAGTATGTTGGACCAAGTTTACTTCACAGTTTGTAGATTAGAATGAGCTCTTTGAATTACAGATAGAAGCATACTGATAGTTTGGCACTTAAAGATCTGTTCTCTGATTTCACCCTTAACTGGGCCACAGCATTCTGCAGATTAGATAAAGCTTTTTACTCACAGCCCTGTGGTATTGAAATTGCTGGAGTCTGTGCTCAGTTAAAATGTCATGGAGGACACAGCTTACATGGGAGTTTGCTCAGATGGGAATTAACAAAGTTAATAACATTTAAAGATTGTAAAACTTGACAGCTGGTGGGTGGGTTTTGTCTCTTTAAAAGCACTTAAACCTGAAATCTCGACTGGAGCAGTGCACTTCTGAAATACTAGTAGTTATGAGGCATGAGAAGACTCTTCCCCTCATGTCTTGCTTGTGAGCATCTTGGAAGCATCTGACTGGCCACTATGGGAAATGGAATGCTGGACTAGATAAACCATTGGTTGCCCCAAGGTGCTTGATGTTTCTCAGATAAGCCTAAAAGAATTAACCTAATACACCTACTGGAGAAACAGCATATCTCATAAATGGACTTCAGTAGACACATTTTTGGGGATGTGAGCACTGTTGAATTGCACATACTAACTAATAATTCCCCACAGATTTTGACCAGTGCTTATCAAAGGGTTACCTGCTGCTTTCTGCACAGAAATCCTTTGAATAGCCTCTCCTGGGATTTCAGCAAACAACAGGGAATGTTCAAGATGTGGGACTACAGTGGGAGAGAAAACGGGGGGAAAAAGACAGAGACCAGATTAGGTCATACGATAAATACTTTACCTACATTGAATGCTCTGCCACATCAGGGATAGTAGGATGAAAGTAGAGTCAGTCAAGTTTTTGCTAATGCTCACTGAATCTTTTGTAGTCAGTATATTACAATACAGTTAAAACAACTAATTAAAGAATTGTTGGACTGCAGTCCCTGTATTTTTATTATTACATTGCATTTGTAGCCTGCCTTTCTTCAAGGTGGCCTACAAGGTCCCCCTCCTTTCTATTTTATCCTCATAACAGCAGCCCTGTGAGGTAGGTTAGGCTAAGCCACCATCGCTGGCTTAAAGTCACCCAGTAGACTTCATGACCGAGTGGGGACTGGAACCCAGACATCCTGAGTCCCACTTCAGAACTCTTAATTGCTATACCTCACTGGTTTTCACACTGTACTAGTAAGTCTTGTTACTGTATTGAAAGTCATTAGCTATAGCTTAATTTTTGCAACTAGAAAGATATGTGATTTAGATCATACTAGCATAATATGCAGTATTTCATATTTCTGAGCAGTGCCCCTTGCCTTTTAGGAATGTTAATTTACTATTCAAATAAACACACTTTATTTTCTAGGATTTAATTTTAACCTTTTTAAATCTAACCCAATGGCCTTTTGGACCAGTGCATCTCCCTCTCAACCCAGTAGTAAAGGTATTTGCACTGAATGTGGTATATCACTTCTTGGAAAGCACTGACAGCTCCCCAACTTTAGCAAAATAACTGGCTGTTTTAAAAGTGTACAGAAATAACATGCATGTTTAAAATATAATGCCTATACAGCTTTTATGGTTACAAGGCTGGTTCTTACAGAAATTAACAGATTAATGAATTTATCTTCCAAGAGCTCAACTATTGACTTGTAAACTTGTTTTAGGATGGTGACTCAAACAATTACTAGAACTTGCTTACTGGATTCATGATACATAGGAAAAAATTCAGAGGCTTGTTGCAAATAATGTTTCAAAAGTCTTTATAGAACACTCCTTGATGCTGAGTTTCCTTATATTAGCTATAAGATTTTTTTTTTCATAGAATTGACTTTATTTGGTGATACTAACTTGTGAAAACTGTCTGAATTAGTCATATGTGTGGTTTTTTAAATTTTGAATCCCTTCATATAATTATCATCCCTGCATCTAATAAATGAATCTATAAATATTTTTTGCAGTCTCCCCCCCCCCCCAAAAAAAAAGAAAGACGGGGAAACTACTGCAAACAAGAAAAGCACTCACTAATGTGGTAGTGGAGGAGTTCCCTGGTATACTCATACGAGCACATGGTGAACGTAACCATCTTTTGGACATACCATGGGTTGTTTAGGCAACAACCAGCTCCTCATGGCTTATTACCAGAGTGGGTTAGTGTGACCCAACCTGCCCTAGAAGAGGCAGGCGAGTAGTATTTTATTTGGAAAATAATGCAGATTATATCAGTTGGCCTGGTGCATGTTTAGCTTCATGAATTGTGCCTTAGACCCAATTCAAAATAATCCACCTCCTTTTTATAGGCTGGATTTTAATATTTGGCTATAAAGCATATCCTCTGTCACTGGCTTCCATTTTACTAAAATTTACCCTAATCTGACTTTTTTGTTTTTCTAATGCATGCATTTTGTAAAAGAGATACTGCAAATTTGGAACATTTAATTCTTATGCCTGTTTAGGATTTTGCTTGCATTCTGTGACGATGTGCACAATGATAGTGTAAGAATGCATGAAATGTTCTAAGGTGTGTGGCATGTTCTCATTAGGACTGTTTGCGGTGCTAAAATGCAGTTGGAGATTAGTCTTTTTACCAATTGACACACCTTGTGTAGCCTGGAAAGATGGTCCTTGGCACTTGAATCAAGATAAATAGCTTGCCTTTTCTCTTGTTGTTAGTGGAGCTCTGTAATTGAGTCAAAAGTTGCAGGTGTTTCATGCTGAATCTTTTGGTGAAGCACTTTGAGCAGCTCATAATACAGTTTTATCATGAAGATATTTGTGCTTAAAGGAAACTATTAGTATTCTTGTGGAAAGGGTCACATGCTATTTGATTTTGTTGCACTAATGCTTGGTTTGTTTATGCTCAAAGTTACCTACTCATCACTTTAGTAATCTCTGCTTCTGGTAGATATTACTATTTGTCTTTTCACATTTGGTGGAGATTATTCCTGATAAAGCAAAACAAAACTAATAAATAGAATAACTGAAGTCATTATTTCAAATTGATTAAGATAGATGGCAATGGTGTGTGATATATTTTGAATTCAAATATGGAGACATTGGGCAGCTGGAGCATAAATTAAGTACTATTTATCTAGCCCAGACGTGGGCAGTATGTAGAACTAACATCTGGACGTTAGCTCCCTGCATTTCTGATGATTGGCCATACTGGCATGGGCTTCTCACAGTTGAAGTCTGAAACTTCTGGAGAACTACTTTTTGCCCACCTCAAAGTAGTCTACCATTTGATAGATGGTGCTATATAAATACGTTTTATCTCATTCATTGTGAAGCAGTTACACTGAAATCAATGGAACTTTTTAACTTTGGCATTCAACCATCAACATGTAAACTTGTCAAACTACTGCATGATATCTCATTTTTAATTTGAAAAATTGAAATTCAATATTTCCAAGAAAGTTTTTATTGTAATTTGGGTATTTTACATGCACATCTTATTAAAGTAATTTAGATTGCCCCTCCCAAATCGAATATAGTTCATCAATTTCAAATTACATTAATTTACTCAATCATTAAGGGCTCAGTCCTTGGTCTGGTGCGAGCATCTACCAGGAATCATGGAATTGTATGGACCTTCCTGTGGGTGAAGAAGGTCTGCACTCAGAGGTCCAAATGTGTTGCTAGAAGCATCATGATGACAGCAACCACTGTCACCATCACTTCTCTACCACCCACTGTCTGACATTCAGGAAAAAAAAGAGGGTGTGTAGGGGAACAATCTGGGCAGGCTTTGGCTATGTTCCTCTGGCAGGCATCCCAGGTCAGGAAAAAACCTGCACCACTTAGGAGACCCTTCCCCCCGACACACATATATTCCCCCTTTTGTTGCCATGAGCCTGGGTAGTCATAGATGTGGTTATTCTTGTACCACAAACTCACTTAATTTAAAAGTCCATAGAATTGTTCTGTTTGTCACTTTTTCAATAAACTTGTCCAGAGATTCATGCACACTTTTAAAAATAATAAAACCATTAAAATCAAAAACTAAAATCAATGCAAGCACTAAATGACTTCAAGAGTTACTGGACTAGTTTGCACAATCAAAATAAGTCGTAGTTGTTCTTTTGAATTCCTTTGTGTACAGAGCCTAAATGGAATAATTGCTGCATAGGTGCAGCTTGTTCGTACTGTCAGAACTCCGCTGACATGACTTGATGGAAGGGGAAAACTACTCTCCAGTTACCCTCCAACATCCATTGCATTATTGGAGGATTGCTTCTTTCTCCAACAAGTCGTGCTGCCTGGGTTCAGACAACACAACAGACCACAACTGGGGTAGTGTTTCAGATTATGCCCCACAATTTACATAAACCATAAGCCACAGTGGTTAATTTGAACCTGTGAGCCAGGTCACAGTTTCTTCCGCTTGACAAGTTTAGACTTTGAAGTAGTTCTGTAAAATTTCAATGAATTTTCCAGGTCTGTCTTTTTAAACAAAACACATACTTAATGTCAAGTGGAGCCTAGCCCTTGAATTCTATTTTAAGGACAATGGATGGAAGATGTGCTGTGTCTGAATGTAGTTGTCAAATGAGAAGCATGGCATGAATTTGGCTGGTGTTCCTCATTGTTCACAGGAAATTAATTCTATACTGACCAGCTTTTCATTTTACTAAATCTCAACACTTTGTCTTCTGGTTGAATGCACGTCTTCTCTGCTTTATAACTATATGAATGTTAAAGTGCAACTGCTGATTTCAGACTTGCTCAAATAATTCACTTGTATCTCTTTCTAGCAGTTGAAATTACGAACGAACCAGATACAGTCCCATCAGATGATATCCAGATTGTATATGAGTTAACACCCACACCTGAGCAAAGAGCTCTTGCAGACTCTCTCAAATTGCCTCCAACATTCTTTTGCTATAAGAACAAACCTGGGTATTTTAGTGAAGATGATGACGGTAAGAAATATTTGAAATGATTCTCTTCGGTTAAGGTAAAGGTAAAGGTTTCCCCTTGACGTTACGTCCAGTCATGCCTGACTCTAGGGGGCGGTGCTCATTGCTGTTTCCTAGCCGAGGGAGCCAGTGTTTGTCTGCAGACAGTCTCCGTGGTCATGTGGCCGGCATGACTAAACACCGAAGTGCACGGAACGCTGTTACCTGCCCACCAAAGTGGTACCTTTTTACCTACTTGCATTTGCATGCTTTCGAACTGCAAGGTTGGCAGGAGCTGGGTTGGAGCAACGGGAACTCACTCCGTTGTGCAGATTCAAACCGGCGACCTTTTGATCAACCAGCCCAGCAGCACAGCGGTTTAAACCACTGCGCCACCTGCAGTCGCTCTGTTAAGTTAGAGAACCAAATTAAAGGATGAGGCTTTCTTTAGACAAGTCCAACAGAAAACCCCATTAATGATCTTATTAATCAGAACTGATATCCTGTTTTATGTGTGCCGGTTCCAGAAATGTTAATATCCTGTTTCTGACCTCATAGACCTGTTTCTGGTCTTAGAGAGCTAGATAAAACACAAGTAATAAAAATGCTAGAAGGGTGCTCCTGTTGGTGATTTTAAGCTGCTATTCATGACTTTGCTGTGAAACAAACATTTAAGCACAAGTTGGCTGCCTAGAAACTGCTACCTTCCTCCAACTCTGAACTGCTGTAGGGTGAGGGAGTCTTGTTTTCTCCTTTGTTCTTTCTAAGGTGAGTGGGGAATAATTGAGAGTAGCATACTGCCTATGGAATCTCCTCATCAGAGTGGCTAGCACCTTGTTATCTTTCTAATGCTAGGTAAAAACTTATTTATTCTCCAGGCATTTTAAGTTTGATAGATCCTAACTTTTACTGTTGTTCATAATTAAAGCCATTTATGGAACCTGAGTGCTTATTATGACCAAGTTGCATGTTTATGTTGCCAACCTTTATTTTTATATTTCAGATGAGGACTATGAAACAGCTGTAAAGAAACTTAATGGAAAATTGTACCCTGATGATCCTGAAGAACACACACAACCACAGGAAACTGACACACGTAAATATAATTACTGGGGGGAAGTTTTATAACTTAGCAAATTCTGAACTTTTCTAATAAATGCTTCCATCCATCCATACTAAGCTTTCAATCCTGCCCATGTTTAGGCAGGAAAAAATGGCCAACAACAAACTGCATGTCCTATAGCTGGGTGTAATTTAGGGAGTTTTTCTGTCTGAATAGTCATAAGGTTACACCTTAGGTTGCTAACTTGCAAAACATTTACTGTCTATTAAAAGGAAAGCTTGAGCTTGCCATAACCAAAAATAACAGCCATTAAAATGTAGCCCGGGAGTGGGAAAACTGGTGCCCTTCAGAGGATGGTGGGTCTTCAGCTGCCTTCTAACCCTGTCCTCTTGGCCATGCTCAGGAAAGTCCAACAACGTTTGGAAAGCCCTTTGTTATAGAAATTCTCAGCCACCACTTAATTGCTCTCTTAAAAGACAAAACTGTTGCAATGAAGCGAACGATGCAAACCGAGCCAGTGTTCTTCTGAGGTAATCAGCCCCATCCCAGTTGCATACAAGTGAAAACAAGTGCTGTAATAAGAAGTGGCATCTGCTAGACCTTGTGCTCTATATGATTCTTGAAGGTGCAGCTGGCGCTTCTGTGCCTACCCTTTGCTTCTAACATCTTGTGCCCCAGGACCTTTGTGGGGGGCTTTCCCTTGCTTAGATAAACATTTGATTAGGATATTTAGATGCTTTACTTTGTCAGTCTACTTCCATGGTTTTTTTTTCCAGTAAAATCTTAAGTATTGTCTGTTTTGATATCACAGAAGAAAATGAAGCAGAAAGTAAGAACGAATGTGTTCTTATATGGGAAAAGAAACCCACTCCTGAAGAAAAGGCTAAGGCAGAGACTCTAAAGCTTCCTCCAACATTTCTCTGTGGCATTAGCAGTGACACTGATGAAGACAATGACAACTTGGAAGACTTTCAGACAGAACTTAGAAAAGTTCAAGAACTGGAAGTAAGTAGCAGAATTGGCTTTAAGTACCTGCGCAACTGGATTTGCTTGCTGACCTCTGGGGTATAACCCTAGTCTTCTCCTGCCACCTGTCCACCTCCAGCCTGCCTTTTATGCTTTGAACCATTAGAATGAGGTCCTGTCTATACAGATATCATGTATGCTGATAGCACAGTATTAATTTTTGTTCAATCTTTCATTGTGACTTTGTCTAAAGCAAAACAAAAACTAAATAACCCAAGCAGAAACAGAATTAAACTTGCTGATAAGTAAATATCCAAATAACAGCATACTTTCAAATGCAATGAAAACAAATTCAGTGAAAGCAGGTCAGATGTCTGTAGAGATGTCCATTAGAGAGTGGCATATCTTCTCAACTATTGAAACTTTTGTTAAGTCTTCATTGTGTTATAGGAAGTAAGCTTTTATCATGGCTGTGGAATGCGCTCCCCAGAGAGGTTCACCTGGCGCCGTTGCTATATGCTTTTCAGCGCCAGGTCAAGACCTTTTTATTTACCCAATATTTTAAGGTTTAAATATTTTAATTATGCTTTTATTGATAGATCTTCAGCTGCATTTTATCTTGTCATGATTTGATGTATTTATTATATTGTAAGCCATCCAGAGACAACTCATTTTGGATGGGGAAAAATATACAAACAAACTCATTCATTCATTCCAATATTGTAATATAGTTATTTTAGCTGTTAAAGGGCATAGGAAACCCATTCTATGCCCTTCACTATGCCCTCCATTCACCAAGACCAAGTTTTAATTTCTAGGAAACAGGTAGATAATTTTAAAACAGTGTACATCAAACAATAACAAAAGTGTATACACACTGAGGGCAGTTGAGATTAGAAGCTCTTGCCTGGGGACTCCATGATGTTTTCATATCATCTATGGTAAAATGGCAATCCTGTCCAGAGAAGCCATATTGAAGCATGAAAACTTTAGACCATCAATTTTCTTCATAGTTTCAAAAACCTAGTCCTACAGTACAGGTACTCTGGAACTGGGTCTAGATCTAGATCACACAATAGACCCACAATGGAAAGAGGTTCACTATGGCTTCTCATGTCATGTGCCCCCCTCCATCCAGTCTCAACCTCACCTACTTCTCAGAGTTACTATGAGGATAAAATGGAAAAGACGATCATGTAAGCAGCTTTAGTTCCTCGTAGGGAAAAAAAGGCATAATAAATAAAAGGTAGTAAAAAAATATCTTCTCCATTCCTCTGGGCCATCAGGAAGATAAACATTGCCAGTTGCCTTGGCAAGATGGTTTCCTACCATATTAATAAATGCTTGGGTTATAATTCAAGGAAACAAAAAGGTCATTTAAACTGAGATGTAGCTAAACAATCAAATTTTACTGTGATTTTTTCTTCTGCAGGAAGCCCAAATAGAAGTAGTAACCAGTTCTACTGGGGAAGTAACCAGTGGGGAAGTAACCAGTTCTACTGGGGAAGTAACCAGTTCTACTGGGGAAGTAACCAGTGGGGAAGTAACCAGTTCTACTGGGGAAGTAACCAGTTCAACTGATGATGTGTCCTCCACTAAGGAAGAAGAAGCAATGGTAGCAGCAACTCATATGAAAGAACCAGATTCTGCTGCTGAACCTACGCACACCATTCAGACTTCATTAGGAACAGATGATAAGCCTGTTGACTTGTCCACTAAAAAAGACATTGATTCCACGGCCTCTACAAACCAAGGTATTTGTTTCACATTTGAAAAACAAAAATTAAGTAACTGTTTAGATAGTCCCAAGGTAGTTAAAATGTTGCCCCCATAATGAGCAACAAACATTTGTAGAGGCTTGAGGAAAGTGATCTTTGCTTGTTCAGTAGTAGACATCATTTAGGGTGTAATCCAGTGGCTCCCAGTCATTGTCTGAGGGTCTATACTACTGGGGATTTTGCCCACACCATGGTAAGAGCACTCTGACCTCTGAGAGAAGAGTTAGAGTTTTGAACCACACTGTCTGATACTGGAAACTCTTCCTTGGGCTGGAGGGAGAAGAGATGACCACCACTTTTCCCCACTCTACATTGGAAGCCTCTGAGTTCAGGGAAGGCACCCTTAAATTCATCTAGAAAGAAATGACTATGCCCTTTGGTAATGTCTTTTCAGAGGTGAGAGCTGACTTCACTTTCTACACATTCCACGATTTATGGTAGTGGGGAATATGTGGAGAAAGTCCTCATTGCATTATATGAAATAGGCATAAAAAGATGTTTACATGTTTTTTCCTTTCCACAGAAAGCAAACCTTTCTCGTTTGCCCTTGGCAACATACCTGGTTTGTCATTTGCTGATCTGGCTTCAAATAATTCTGGAGATTTTGCTTTTGGTTCTAAAGGTAAGATATGCATATTACCTATTTACACAAATAGATTGCTGTTGTGGGAGCTAATTCATAGTCTGATTAAATCACATTATTGAAGAGGAAAAATGAATGACCCTGATCATAGGCATGCTCCTCTAGAATATTAAGATTTTATCTTCCATCTAAGCAGACAAAAACTTCAAGTGGGCAAATACAGGAGCAACTGTATTCGGAGTACAGACAGCCTCTAAAGGAGATAATGAAGATGATGGAAGTGATGAAGATGTTGTACATAATGAAGAAATTCACTTTGAACCAATAGTGTCACTGCCAGAGGTAAGGTTTTTAATCAGAAATACAGGAGTGAAGAATGGATCTACTCTGCAAGGTTTCACATAGGAGACATATGTGGCATGGTTACTGTGCTAGTTGTAGAGTTATCAGCTTTCACTAT